CTGGACTTACATTTCAATGCTATATTTAATATTTGGCTATTACTGGCTTTTTTGCCGAAACAGATGTTCTGCTCAAACTTATTAATACACAGAAAATTTCTCACTTTTTTTTGACAATGATTTGTGCCCGATTCTATAACTTTTAAATCTCACTATAGTCAAGTGACATTTGTTGATTGAGTATCAAAGCTAAACCATTCGATCTAGCATGCATCATAGATGATCGGGTCCATTCTGCTTTAACTTATATTAGAGGCATTTCTTTTATTATTTTATTATCAAAAACAATTTTTCTACCTTATATATTTATTAACTTCTCATATTTTAACCGAGATCATCTACATGACCAGTGTAAATATTTATCAGTTTTGAAAGTATGTTCAATTCTTAAAAAGAAATGGGCAATCTTGTTATAATTACGGCGTTTTTATATGGTATCATAGAACAATTTCATTAAAAAGAACTTTTCAATCACCATTATTATTAGTCAATCATTTAAAACAAAATTACTAATTAAGCTACACTTGACAACGAACAAATGAACATGACGCAATTTTAATATGTTCGACATTACGGGTTTATTTTGAGGTCACAGTGAGCAAAGATTTACGGAAGAGTTTTATTGGAGAATCTTGATTTGGAACTAGTATTTGACCCGAGAGGACATTACTATGGTTGGTATCTCAGGAACGAGGTTGCTACAAGTGTGATCGGTTGCAGTGAAATCAATGAGAGTCAAACACAAGTTATAGATCAAGGTACTCGTATAATTGCTCTAAACTTTTATTTTATAACATCTCAAATTTTAAATACATGTTCAATTATAATTATTATAATTAGTTAGAGATGTTACTTTTAGAATCCCTGACAATACCTCATCAGAACTTTACCTTACAAATGAAATAAAGGGGCGTATTGAAATTCAAATTGCGTTCTCCCTCGGTTCTTTAGTTTGTCTGACAGGGGAATTGAAGAAAGTTGTTTTTAGGTAACAAAATACAATGATATATTCTATGACAATATTGTACATTTCTACAAAAATATAATTAGAAAAGCATTGGGAACTTAATCTTGTTTTACAGTCTTATCATGTCTATCTGTATCCATATCTTAGAATCACCAGTGTTTTTGAAAACCAGGGAAATAGATAATATCTCTGTTGATTTTTTTAAATCTTTTTTTATTTATGAACAAAGTCTCATGGCCCTTAAGGGCATAAGAGTGAACAAACAAAAAATACAACAAATAATAATACAAACATGGCATAGGAGTAAATAAGGAAGATGACTGTGAAATTTCAGCATTATTGCTTTAACAAAAATGGCTATAGAACGTAAGTAGGATTGTTTATATGAAGTACTCTGTTTGATTGCAATGATGAACATAATACTCGTCAAATGATATAAAAATCTAATTACTCGAGCATTTCAAGTTACGAACCCTTGAAATCTTTAAAATTGCATCTTTAAGGTAACTTGAAGCCTAACTCGATACTGATTTACTAGATTTCAATCAGTCTCTATCCAATGGAAGCCCATTATGTGTTTTATCGAAATATATCCCGTTATAAAAAAGTTTTTATTCAATAAAGATCTATCTTGTGCCAAATAATGACTTGTATTTGTATAAATATAAATATTATTTTCCATACTTTTCCTTTACTATGAATATATGGATGAAAATTGTGAATATGATAGTACAAAGATATAAGTTTAATTTAAAGAAATAAATTGAAAGTGGAATAAACGTAAATTCTTAACATAAAATGTGCTTATAAGAGGTTTAAACGTATCGCTATATTTGTTCTTGTATTATAGCTTTCCACTGGGAGGATTAAGTGTATGAATAGTTTAGCTTTTTTCCTTGACAATATTCTTCCTTAACCTGCTGTATTTGAAATTGGAGCAATCAAAAAATCATAGTAAAAATAAACAATGTTAAGCTACCAACAATTTAAAACCTGGCCAGATTCTCTGGGTGTGCAGGGTTATCGTGGCAAATGCTTATTTTGTTTAACATCGAGTTCATCGGAGCTACACTGATTTTCATCGTAGGACTTATTACGTAATCTGAAATAACATAATATTCATTACACTGCAATTTATTGAAAAGTTTGAATTATCATTTCTTTTCATCTCATATTTACAACGATTATTTACAAATATCATGCTACAAAACTAACTAAATATAAAAAGTCTAATGTCATTTTAGCTGTTTTGAATCCTTGCATATACTGTATAAAAATCACAATTAATAGGATAAACATTTAATAATTCATACATACAATGCTGGTTGCAGAATAATTGTCTGGTTATGTAGATTCAGATGTCCCGATGGAACATCACCATGACTATTACCCCTGTAATATGATCCATGTAAAAGTTATTTAGAATAACGGTATATTTTTTTTCAAAAATGGTTATCATCGAATGATTTATTGAAACATATAAAACAACACTCATGAATCTGTTATTTAGCTGTTTATTCCCTTTGAACAGTTGGAAAGCTTGAAAGATCGTTTCTATAAAAATACGGAGGATAAAACATCATATCATTACAACGATTATTTACAAATACCATGCTACAAAGTAGAAAGTACCCTTAAAATCAGTAACTTGCTCAAATGCGCGTGACCAGTTTAATTAAAACCTGCCTGTTAAATATAAAAAATACTTCTTCGCTCAGAAACAATCTTATCATTTTTTCAGTCTCTTGTAAAATTTTATTTATCTCAGTTTCGTGACTAAACATTAAAGTTTAACTTTATTTTAGCCATTTGAATATTTGCTATAATGTATAAAACCATTATTATTAGAAAAACTAAATTATAATTCAGACATACGATGCTTGTTTGGAATAACTTACAATTTTTCATTCTGTTGTCGGCTTGGAGCTTCGCCATCACTGTTTCCTCTGAAATATGTTCAATACTTTAATATAAATAACTATTTTAAATGCTTGTGTTAAATACAAACCTTTCTCTTAAATTATCATATGTATCTTCTCTTAGAAACGAATGTCACAGGGTCAAGTATACATTGTCCGTATTGCTAAGTGCTGAATATTTTTAGTCTGTTCGTGTCTATGCCTGTCTCTGTATATTTATATGTTATTGTCCATGTCCCTTATTGTTTGCGTAGTTATTTCTTGAATTAATATACTCATAGCTCATATCTCATATCCAATAGCCGTTACCTATACATAATAGTACTTTATAACATTTTCATTCTCTTCGATTATCTTTTCTCGCTAATATTTCAATTTCCCGGCTAATCTGCACAACGCACTTAAATTGAGAAATTGTTGGCACAGGCCATTACTTGTCTTTTTACAGATCCCTCTACCCCAGGTCCAGGCCCGGCTTTCACTAACGTTCTCAAACTGAGATAAATCTCAACTTAAGATTGTCTCAATATTGACTGAGATTCTTACTCACCTGAGAAAAATCTCATGTTAGCTTTCACTAAACTTTTTCTCAACATTTGAGAATTTTCTCAACTGAGACTGTTATTTCTCAAGACATAAGCGGCTATCTTAATGTGCCATGTTGATGATCGAGCTTCTATTTCACGAAGTATATCATGTATATAGTTGCTGTTTTGATGTAAGATGAGCAACAGGGAAATATTTGTATATTTATTACATTAAGTAGATCTATATAACAAAAAAATAAACAATAACAAGAACACCAAAGAGCAATTGCAAATGTGTGAACATTTGAATGCTAATGAAAATAAGTTATCAAGAATGAATGTACATCAAAGGAAAACAAACAAAATTCAATAAAACATTTTTAGTATGATTATTGTGACGTCATAATTTCATGACGTCATGAATTAGAGCGCATGATGTCGTCAATATATTACTAAATACATGAAATAATAGAAACTTAATTGCCAAAAAAGTCAAATTATGTTTATTTATCAAAATAACCATGCAGAAAGTAAAAATACCCCTGAGGATAATAATTAAGCTTCACTGAAAAATAATCTGAGACGGCCAAACCTTGTCTCAATATATCTGAGAAAAATCTCAAGTCTTAAGTTGAGATTTTTCTCAATATTTTTTAGTGAAAGTCAAACTTAAATTAATCTCAATCTCAATTTCTGATATGCGAAAAATCTCAGATTTGAGCTGAGATTTTGACTTTGAGAACGTCAGTGAAAGCTTTCCTTTGAGCTGCGACAATCGGCGCCCAACGTGGGGCTGTGACTGCGTCTAGCTCAGAGTTTAATTAGCACTGCTCGGTAGCTTTGTGAAATTCGAGGACGATTTTCAATATTGTGGTGAAGTATGTCACGGTTCAGAACTGTTCACTATTTAGGGAAGATGATGTGTTAGCTGCCGGATAGCTCAGTCGGTAGATCCGCAGAATGGTTATCCGAAGGTCCCGGGTTCGAGTCCCCGTCAGGCTGCACATTTTTCTCACCCTTTGACACGAATTTATCAGTCTTTCAATCTCTTGTAAAATCTAAAAATCTGTTTGTCTCAGTTAAAAGTTTAATCCTATTTTCATCTGTCTTAATAGTAACATAAAATATATGAAAACCATTATTTTTAGGAAAACAAGATACGATGCTGGTTTTGGAATATTAACAGTCAAGTTTTCTTTTAGTTGTCCCGATGGATGCCCCCGCCCCACCGTGACTTTAACCTCTGTAATATGCTCCATGTAAAATTATTTAGAAAAACATTGAATTTTTTTTTCCAACAGTGTGCGCGTTTTTTATATATATATATTTTGTTATTTTTGTTGTTTGTTTGTTGGGTCTTTTTTAAGATTTATTAAAATGACAGATTTTGCTTGGTGGATTCCGTTCTAATAAAAGTTCCGTAAAATGAAAATTGCTGTAACGAATAAAATAAAATTATCAATAGTAATACACATTGATCTTTATAAAAATGATAATTGTACAACTGCATCAATTGTTTGTCTTATATGCGAGTAATATTTAAAATTGTGCAGATATATATTTTTAATGGATGTCACAATCCTGTCTCAAACAAAATATATTTTACCTCTTTCTTCCACGGATAAGAAATATGATAACACAGGACGCAAACAACAGAATAGCAATTGAAACCGATACTCCAACAGCTATCTTCACGTCAACATTTTCTGCAACAAAAGTATTTGTCGTCAAAATTAAATCAAGATAAAAACGAACGTTAGGCATTCATACATAAAAAATAATGAAAATTAGTTTATCAGACATGAGCAGACATGGTGAAATTTAGCCAAGCAGACATGGAAAGAATAGAAGTTATCCAAGTAAACAAAAGTAGTTAAAGTTAGCCGAGCAGAGATCATAGTTGGTTGAAGGCACATAAAGAAATATTAGAAATACATATATTAAAAAAAAATTGAAACGTCAAAGATGTGTTTAATGATGTTTTAATAATGGATTAAGAGCACATTAGATGTTCAATAGCTGGAGAAAGTAGTTTTTATGGTTATTTGTCTCTCATTCCTGATTCAGTAATCATAAGAAAAGGGTCACTTGTGGAGAAATGGAAATAACAGTTATCCACGACCGCAGAGAAAGGACCAAAAATTATTGTCTTAAATCGGCGTTAATAGTTTTCCACATGTTTCTTAATTTTCCATTTTAGGTGTTTTGATTTTGATTACTTCTTTTTATTGCGGTGTCTCTTTGCATGTCAATTTGTTACTTGGTACCCAATAGTTTCAATTAATACAATATTTGTTTTAAAGTTGGAAATTTGACAAAGTCTGGAATGTCGTACCGATACTGGTATTTTAATTTTAAGTTTAATATAAAATATGTTTTATGTGTTTTACCTTGACCGTCAACCCTGTCTGAACGCACATCTAAAAAAAATGAAAGTAAATATATTGACATTAAAAGTAAATCGATGTTTAAGATCAACGTGGAGAAAGTTGAGACTTTTGATCATTTTTAAAAGCCTTTTTTGTCTAAACAAGTGTATGTCATTGCACTTATCTACATGACAATAAAAAACACAAAAGTTGTCCGTAACATAATAATCGTTATATTATTGAAAACCATCTGTTATCGTTGCAAACATAGCCCTTATTATTGTCAATGTGTCACTTGGGTGTTTTAAGTTAGAAGAAACCTAGCAACTATTCCTAATTATTGCGGTAAGATGTTCATCAAGATGGGCAATTGTGTCATTGCTTAGCAATGTCTAGCTTGAAGATAAAGAATTTTGTTACGATGATTCTTTTCCATGATTTGACGACGGCAATGTGCTTTAATTATTAGCCACTGAAAAGTGTCTTAACGAATCTTAATTTGATGATTTGATATTTTACCTGTGTTATTGACGTAATGTCCACCTGGTATCACTGATAGGTAATGCATATCTGAAGTAAGAAACAGCATCCGATAACGTTCAAAGATCAAAAGGCAAGACAGCGTTCCACGTTTCACGTTTTATTATTCTAAATAGAATTGTGGATGAGTTTATTGTAAATTAGTTTATTATCTATTATTTAATTATTGTAAAAATGATATTACATGTATAATCATATACATTTTAAGTATTTCATCCGTACTTTTGCACTCCAAAACATTCGTGGAGCCCGTTCCAATTGTGGAAGTACCAAACGGGCACTGTTTGCAAGTTGACTGTCCTGAATGCTTTTGGTAATAGCCTTGCCTGCATTCTTTACAAGAAGAAATTACCCCGTCGTTGTATGTACCGGGAGGACATTCAGCTGAAGATAAAATATTATTTTAAATGTTTACCCTACAACCACATTTTCTTTTATCATAACTTAACGTCACACAGTTTGGTTTAAACTGGCTTTTGCTTTAATGTGGTATAATTAATTTTAGAGACTTTTGCAGCATCAATAGCAACCTTTAGACATTTTGCTGCCAAGCGATATTAATAAATACCAGCATATCTTTACGCTAATACTAGTTCTATGAAAATGTGAACATACCACAGAACATTTCTATGGGAATTGTACCCGGGTCACAACGCATTGACGATTCATGACTCAGCATCTGTTCCCCTCCAGAAAGAGAATGATCTGTTCCATCAATTACTACGTGAAAAACGTGCGCAGAGTTGTTCATAACGTACTTAGCAGACGTTTCAAATTGTATCACGTGTTCTCCAAAATCCACCAAACTCTGTTGGGAAGCTATATATATCATAAATACATTAGAAATGCATGTTTTGTGTGATTCATTTGTTTCTCAATTTATTACATTCAAAACATTGTTTCAAAACAATATAATCAATAATGATGAATGTTTTATCGCCATTCGTGTCAAGTTCTATAAATTAATGACTTTCATTTTATTTTACAAAAATGTTTTAAATACTACTAGTTTAAAATATTTCAATTTTCATATTTTCCGCCATAAAATCATAACAAAATATTTTGGCTATTGACCCGAAAAAAAGCGAATTTAGAGTAAGAATAAAAATTAACAAAGGCGAAATGCTGGTAAAGAAATAAAAACAAAGATAAAGAATTTTTTGGAAACTGTATAATGTTCATATGAAACATAACCATAATCAGACATGATTCATATAAAGATAATCGTGCAGTTACTTACTGGTTCCGTTTATTTTTGTAACATTGATACCCCAGTTCGTGTAATTTTCAGGTGCTTTAAGACTTACTATCACTGACACATATTGTCCACTACTATTACATTTCGGGAGCACTTCAGTTTTGCAGATTCCGTCTCTTAAACAATCAACTTTTGTAAGTTTCCTTTCAAGTTGGCCTTTAAGGGATCTTATATTGTCAGGACTACACGGTATCGACGTATAATGTCCTTCGAAGCTCACACCTATTGTTTTGGGTATTTCTATCTCTGGAAAAGACATAAAAACGTAAAAAACATGAAGCGTGTCTTTTGATTCAGTGAATGTTTCTAAAAGGTATTTTATCGTGGTGGAGCGCTCAACAAGACCAAATTTGCTCTATTCGACGAATCTTTTCACTTGATCACTTCACTCTATACTGCAGTGAACCTTTACAAAGAATTTCATTACCCTCAATGTACTTTTTCGCTCTCATGTTAAATAAAAAAATATCTAGGGATATCACAAGCTCGGATTAATTGTATCTGTTCATGATAATTATTGCTCCACAAACTTAAGTTCTTGTTTCAGCAATATTTATTTTTCAATTCTAAATTCATAGGAATAAATGATTCGAAAGAACGAGACAGAAAATTAATGATTACAAAGTCTAAGCATGAGGCAAATTTCAGCTGCCACAGAGCACGAAGTGCCTGTTGTGGCGAAAAACAAATTTAAAAAAATGGATACCCTTTATGTGCACTGAAAACAGAATTTAAATTACAGATTCGATCAGGTTTTTATCACCTTTGATTCATAACACTGAATGCTTACTTTCCATAGTTTTACTGAGATCTTTTTAACTTGATGTCTTCATATCAACGAAATACATATTTCATTAACTGAAGACAATTCGAAGGGTTACTGTGTCATTAAGTGTACATACAAACAAACAAGCATACATACATAAGTACGTACGTACGTGCATACATACATTCATACATACATATATTTAGTATTAACCCAAATGCGCTTCTCGTACTTCGTAATCGTAAGTATATTTCTGATTAGGCTAATTAATAATAACCTTTAAAAACTGTAGTCTTTTGTATCATGTGCAAAGTATCATAGACATGAATGAAATATGCTGTTGCATGTTAAAACAGTCGTACCTGTGCATGATGGAAGCCTTGCAGTAGGATTATTTTTGGTCTGGTGATTCCATTTGTGACCAGTGGCAACGCCGCATTCATAGTATGGCAAAGGTGGAATCGGAAAATAAAGACCATCTTCACATGATACCGTGCATCTCTTTAAATCAGTTGTTGTATTGCAAGTTGTTCTAAGCCCATGAGTCATTGTTAAACGAATGCACTCTAAAATAAATGAAGACGATACATAAAATATAAGTTGTACCTGCATTCAAATAAGGTACATAATTATTTATATTTGTCATTCGAGATATTACAACTTGTTTTCACTGAAAAAAGAAAATCGAGGTTATCATTTCGCAAATAAATTTTGCATTAAAATGTTATGTTGAATAAAAACCTACGCAAAGGAAACATGGTCGTTTATTTATTTCATGTTTACCTGGGCAGTTTTCCATATAACATGTTCTTGTTTCAGCGCTTTTTCCGTTGCAGTCCATGCCTTGTGCATTACGTGGTGGGCTGTCACATCTTCTTGTTCGTGTCTGTATACCATTAGCACAGGTTTTTGAACAGCTAGTCCAACCAGACCAATTAGACCACGCTCCGTCAACTTATTATATGTAATTAAGTCAGTTATGAGTGTCAAGAAATAAAGGCAAAACTAAGGCAAAACTGAATTACAAAAAAATACACAGGTATAGCCTAAAAATTAAATTTTAATAGGAGTCACCAAAGACTCTTATGTCCTTTCGACACATGTGTACTTAGGTTTTGGAATCATAAATAGAAACTAAACCAAAACAGAAAAAAAGAGAATTGTTAAGGGTGTTTTGAAAATAAAAGTTTATACTCCATACCTGCTCTTACTTGACAATAAGCTCCACCATATCTATTAGGGCACTGACATGAATAATTGGAATTTCCCATAACACATGTTGCATTGTTCTGGCACAAGCTTTGTTCACAAAGGTCGATTAGAATATCACATTGACTGCCAGTGAATCCTTTTTCACACTCACACTTATATCCACCACGTATATTGATACATTTGTGGGTACCACATGGGGAATTTGCACATTCGTCCACATCTACAAATCAGTTCAAATGTTATTTATACATTGGAAAAAACAAAAGTATAAATGAATCAAGCCGTTGTTTTGTGAAATGTGAACTATAAAAGCGGATGGCTTATAGAAATTATCTCTATAAATTTTTGCTGATTAAAAAAGTAAGTTATGAGTAAAAAAGTTAAAAAAGTAAATACTGAGAAATTAATTGCTTGAATACTAGAACAAACAAGGACACTATAATTGCTACATATGTTCTGCCCATCATTTTGTTAACCTTTGAATGCAATTAAAACTTAAATTTATTCATACCATCGCAGACGGAGGGAATAATAATTTGAGCAAGCCCTGTGTCAACAATGTCATCCATACACATTATCTCGCCAGTAATGTTTGGTTTGCAAGTTAATGACCAGCTCGAAATCTCTGACGTAGTCGCCATTCTAGGAATTACTTTGAACGAAGAAACTTTCATATCTGAACGTAGAGAAAACGAGATTAGAAAAGAAAAAGAGGACACAATTTTATTTCTTTTCTAAAACTGTACTTAAATATGAACACTTCCGTATCGACTTTTTGTTTCATCTTTACTTACTGTAAGTTGTACTGATGTAAATTTTACTATTGTTTATTACATGTGGAATGTTATAACATGATTTTGTATTTAGTTCAACATCACTTTTCATGTTCAGTATCTTGTTCTAAGGACTTTATAACCATACAGATCTCAATTGTATATGTATAAGAGGTTTTTCCACACTTATGGAACATTTAAACTAGTTTTTCACAGAAATGATGTGAGAAGTCAAAATATACTGACCCCCCCCCCCCCCCTACAATAAACGGAAAAAAAACTTACATAAACAAAACAACAATAAATAAATAAATGAATAAATTAATAAAAAAAACAAAAACAAAAAAACAAGGAAGCATCACAATAAATATTACTTGCGCATGCCTATGTGTATGTTATAGGTTATAACCTGCAAAATCTCCATACTAGGGCTTTTTAAGATACAAAAAGAAACTCGTTCTTATGCGATGGAAAAATGCTGTAATATTTGATATTTATAGTTTTAGCGCTAATATGCTTTATTTCAACGTAATATCAGTAGTTTAAATAAGATTAGAAAGCCTCGAACTAAACAGTTAGTGCACTAACTTAAAGGTATTTAATTAACTTTTGTGCTTCGCATGTCATGAAATTCAATATTTTACTTGTAATAATAAGTATTTGACTACACCAACATCTGATTACCAAGCAACTCTTAATTCTGGTGTGAATGTAAACCTTGTTCTCTCTCATTCCATTGTTGGTATGTATATTAAATTAGCTAGATCAAAAGAAAAACCACAGACATCGCACATACTTGTCAAGTTAAGGCTTTCGCAAAATTGTCGAATATTTGTTTTCTGTAGCGAAACTACGTAACATAATTATACTTATGTGAATACTTTCATTACCTCCATTTATCTCGAGTGATTGCGTTTGGATCAGTGAATAATTTGATGACATCATGGAAGAGTTCTGACAGACATATTTCCCATCTTTATACACGGAAAGAACATTTGCACGTATATCTAACCTGATGACGACGCTAGTCCATTTCGCAAGTGGAATTATATTTTCAGGTCGCAAGCTTCTGAAAAAAAGATCAAATAATTAATTTGATTTGTTAATTGGATTTTATACGTCAATGCTTTTTATTATCTGCTATAAATGATATAATGATAAACTGTCGATTTAGATTTTCAATTTCTTTGGATGAAATAAGAAAATGAAATAGAATAAAATATGATGCCTTTTCTCTTTAAATACGACTTGTTTAATAAACAAGTTCAAGTCCCTGAACGAGTATTACTAAGTACATAATATTTTTTTTCTGACAGTTTCTTTATTTCGATAAATGCTCATAAATGATTTAAGTCATATATCAATGCATTAAAAACATTTTAAATTCTTATTCGAGCCTGAGAAATTAAAGATTAGATTCCTTCTAGATAAATGTCCACATTACAATACAAATACATATATCAGTGCTCATTTTATCTTCATTCATTTCTCAAATGGTTAATGGTTCTTTTAGACTTTAGAGTTGTTGTAAACATTTCATTTGTCCGATAGCTGTGTCACTGTCTGTGAGCGATAGATTGTTTAAAATATCAAAAAAGGTACAGATGTTGTAGTGAAAGAAAATTTCTTTCTTATGCTATATGGCATTCCTTCTAATGGAAACACCTGCATGCGTGAATGTTGTCGGACATGTACTTGCCCATTTTGTCGCATGCATGTTACTGGAAACATTGTAATATTTTGTGACGCTCCCGAATTTTCAGATCCGTATAACCGAATTGAAATCTGCCGTTTACTAGAACTCTCTGTGGCCAACTGGTAAACCCACATGTATAGAGTTATCGAGTCAAAAGTCAAATTTCTTCTTATTGTTGTTTTTCCAGATGAAAGACGTACATCGTATTCTTAAATGAATAAACAAACGTAATCATTTATTGTAATAAAAAAAAAGGTTCTATAACATTAGTTACATATTGGTAAAGTAATACATCGACAAGGTGAAGAACTAAATATATATCATGAAAGATATGTGCATCTAGTAAAAATGTCCTTAGATAAGCTGCAAAGTCTTTGAGCCTTTTCGCCCTATAAAAAGTCCAAAACACTTTAAAAAAAAGTCGACATGCTTATCCTAGAAGATTGTTAGTGATACAAGTGACTAGCGCATCGGGTCATATTTATCTGATTCAGGCTTTTTAATTCTGACTTTTATTCCGTCAATATTTGTATAACGAATTTATAATTTAAAAAAATGTTACTGGCGACAATTTCATAAAAAAACAAGCTATTTTAAATTGTTTCCAAATGAGCGCTGAAAAAGTTACACCTTATTAACGGCATACATTAACGTTGAGCAGTAAAAAGAAGAATATGTATAGAAGTCTTCATAGTAGTCTAACTGTTAAAATTTTTGAAATAATGACATTTGAATCGAGAGATATGCCAGATAGAACAAAATGCAATAAGAGATATTTACACGCTTTGTTAAACGTTACGACGCACAACATGTTATTTGTGCGTGCTTTGGTTCTGCATGGTATATGCGGCATAGTATACAAAGTGTTTGGTCTGAATTTTAGAAACTATTTTCATTATTGTAACACGTCTTTTACAACTTAACAAACAATATTACCTATGCATTGATTAGTTGACGTTGCGCCATCATTTAACGTCATTGTACCTGTCCTGCACCTTATACATTTTGTCGTCATCATGTTTGGCTGGTACGAGTTTACTGGGCATTTGACACATGGGGTAAGACCGTTTTGGGAGAACTGGCCTTCGGTGCAATATCCTTAAACATCAAACAAATGAAATCTCTACTTCATAAATGTCAAATTGAAAGCTTTACCAATTGGAAAATGGTCAATCCTACAATTTTATCATGTTCAATAAATGCTTTGTCATACAACGCTTCGATGTGATTAGGTGACTACTTACTTTTTGCGTGCAGAATAAAACGTATATTTATACAACTACAAAAAATATTTTATCATTATTCACATTATATACTTTGTCTTACCAAGACACATTCCAATATCGTCAGAACCGGTTCCTGTTGTGTTCATTTGTTCAGGGCAAGGGATGCACGTTGAGGCATCAGGTTTGTTTTGGTAAGTGCCAACGGGACATTTTTCACATACGCCGTGTGCTTCCATATAGCTTCCTTTCGGACATCCAACTTTGAAAGAAAGTACGTTTTTATTACTTCGTTTTATTTAAATTGTTTTTTAATTATCTATATCTATTAAGCCTTAATATGAGTGTCAAGTTTTTCTGATTTCAAAAGATCTTAGTGTTAGTATAATATTAAATTATCTGGGACTTTACAGGCATCAGTGGCAGAGCATACAAAGAATCATTTGTAGGGTTGCTGACACTTTTCTGGTACCTGACTCAAGGATATGCTTTATCAAAAAGTCTAAGTTTGAACAGTTCTTGCAGAGGAAAGAAAGCTTGTCAATCATAATGCATTAAATCGGGAATAGGTTTTTAATTCTAATATTATAATCATATTAATGATTAGTCCATGACTACATGACTACGTGTAGAGCAAAACAGAATAATGGATAGAATAATAATCCATAAATTATAATTAACGATGTGTGAAATGTCATGATTTTTAAGTTGTTAAAATGTTTTCAACAGTTTTAAAACTATATGATTTAATGAACAAAGATAATCATCGAGTTAGATTTAGTGTCATTTCAATCAATAAAATAGTCTTGAAATGTTTTGCTGATTAATATGCCATATAAACTGAAAATAAACGAAACTAAGAGGTATGGTAACAACTCACCACAAGTCGCAGATGACTCCCTAGGTGTTGTTCCCGGTGGACATATTAAAACTGGTTGTCCAGGGATGTACGAATTGTTATTAACGTGTGTGTCTGTTATGTTTAAGTTAAAGAGACCATTATCAACTTCTTTTTGGATGATGTCTGACATGTTGTAAAGTCGTTCTTTATTTTCTAAAACAACGTCTTTGTTGCTTTTTCCGGTTATGTTTTGAAATTTTGCAACAATCTCAAACTGTACTTCATATGCATGTGTATAAGTATTTGTGCTAACATCGCGTCTGTGGCGTCCGGAAATGGAACCGCACGTGACATTCACATACTCTGCACGGCATTCTGGAACGCCACGACAAGCTTCGGAAAACATTGATCTGTTTAAAGCTAGTACAAAGTTTTCTTTAATTTGTCTCATGTTTTCTACGGAACTGTTACAACGTCCAGTATAATAGTAAAACTTGCTAGGCAGATGTATATGTGTGACGTCCATTTTCACTGAAACAAAAACTTGTCCTAGTGAATTTGAAACATTAAAGTTTTCAAAATACTTAACTTGCATATGTTGGTAAATACTTACGTAAAAGCAATTGCATTGTTTCGTGTTTAGTATTCTTTAATAAATTAATAGAGAGTCGATTGTGATTTTTTGTTGGTTTTTGACATCACGGGAATGAAACATTGTTTCCTTTGCGAAAGTTTATACCATTGGATCAAAGTATATCAATAAAGTACATGTATACATGAATTCAGATCATTCACTCAATAATTTTTTCCCCGAAATAACAATACTTATTATATAACAAAGTGAATTAAAATGAAAACTGTGTAAACTTGTTACTCAAGTCGGATGTGAATCGCATTACATATTGATTTTCAATTAAAATTATGTCTACTTTTTATTTTTTTACGTTTCAAGTGCCCAGTTGATATGCAATATTTCTTTGATTCTTTTTTGTTTGTTTGTTTGTTTGTTTGTAAGGTTTTGGACCCAAATGGAGCTTCTTAAAATCATACGGATGTTAAAAGAAGCATACCTGTTTTAAAATTATTAATATATCTATATCTTAAGTACGTTGTTAAAAATTGTATTGCTCAGCTTTTTGTGACACGTGTATTACATTATCAACATTGATATCTTAAGTTTACCATTACAATCCGGCACATTATTTGTTGGTCTCCATTTGCCAATAGATCGTCCACATACAAAAAAACCAAGCCCGATGTTGGGAATATCATAACCTGTTTCACATTGCATTTGACACATTTGACCATGCGTCCATTCACTGCAAGCAAGAGCTCCGTTTAAAGGCTCACTGAGAGCAGCTCTTGAACAATTTGTTTCTGCAAAATGATAATAATGCTACATATTAATGATTAAATTATAACCTGCTGAATTTCAAAAATGGAATTTTCCAGGTTCCAATTTTTGGAACTTCTATTATCAATTCGGAGATGAAATTTAGTTCTAAAGCAAACAGTAAACAAAAATATAGGCTTGTCTCATTGTAGGTGAACAGGATAGCCTGTTTTATACTGGTCGATAAGGCTAACTGTATTTTGCACTGAAAATTGGTAGGACATTTTAACAATTTTCTACGTTGAAGTGATTTATTTTAATTCCTGCTCTTTAATACGCCATAGTATGATGGCTGATTTGTGCCATTCGTATTTTTGCCCCGCGACCCTGCAAAGCGAAAATCGAGAATTAACAAGTAAAAATGGCGGGGGCGAGAAGCGAAAACACGCTAATAAGGGGGGCGAGATTTAATAAATAAAATGTCGCCCAGCGAGGGCGCGAAGCGAAATTAAAGAAACAAAACGGCACCAATGAGCAAGCTCAACCCTGAAACATTTTAAATTCCGAAATGTTAGGTTTTTATTGTTCTTTATTTCAAATTTAAGGGACAAAGATTCAATCACCTTTGCAGAATGGTTTTAAGCTGTCATCATTCCATTTCCAGTTTACTGCTGGTGGATAACTCTTTGTTTTAACTTTACAATGAATTTGATTTGCTCCACCTAATGGATATCCAGATTTACAACGGAGAGAACAAGACGCCCCAAGTCTATATGAATCTGGACATTCATACACTAAATGTGGCACCAACAGATTTGGAGGCTCGCAACTGATGGCTGCAAATGTGAAAATGAAATGCATAGCATTGCTTCATAAGCCTTTACTTTTAGATTTAAGCTGATGTTTTAAATTATGCAGGAATGGAAATTTAGTAATTCTTTTCATATATTTTCAATACATGTATTTTTATTTGTAAAATGATTTCTCAAAGCTTTTGAAAAGCATTTCTCTTGCTATAAAATACATTTGTGTTGTTATTCTGAATAGAATCATATACAAGATCATATCTGATAACTTTACAGATCATAGCTGATAACTAAACGACTTACTCAAAATTTCAATTCTGAAATTACAGTAGTCTCCCTTGTTATGTTCTTGATCTTCTATACTGTATTTCACAGCATATGATCCCGCCTTGAAACGTTGCCCGGGGACATAACCATGTTCTTCTTTAATAATCACTGATTCCTTCGAGTTATCTGTTCCTGATGGCACTTCCCAAGTTACAGTAGCAGTATTATTTGTAGAATCAATGTAAACTTGCATATCATCCGGACACTCTCCGTGTAGAAATGTAGGAGGAAGAATATCTGAATACACACAAACACTCTCTACCAATAAACCCGTTACAAAATAATGATAACGAAAAGCATGGCACAATGAAACACAAAACCTGCGAGATTACGGGAAAAGGAATATACCTTTGCATGTAGGCAAAGCTCCCCACTGGCCTTCAGAATTACATCTAATCAAGTGATTTCCTATTGCACGAAAACCTTCGTCGCACACCACTTCACAAATATTATCGTACACCATTTTATTATTGTAACAGGAAATTCTTCCATTTAATATGTTTGGTAACCCTCTACAAGCTTTAGCTGGAATAGAGAAAAAAAACATTTTAAGACACTCAGAGATGCAAAATTAAAGCAGAAATCAAGACAGAAATACAATAGATAAAATTGTAAAGATTTGTTTAAAATAAGGACAGGTGTGTTCATTATATTTTACATTATTGATTAATTTGTCGAAAGTGGATTGATTGAATGTTTCTTTCCTTGTAAGTATGCAGCAGTATATTGTATTGAAATACACATTTAATACATCGTGGAAAAAGTAAAAGGAAAAACATGGCATTATTTTTTTTCATGCTAGCATATCAATTAGACATATTGTTGTGTTACTGTTAATATTGTAAGTCTATTTTTCATTGAAATGTTCAATAAAACTGGGGAATGTTTCAATTTATTTTTTTTGCATTTGGCAATTTACGGCATAGATATAATTATTGGAAATAAGTATTATACTGATTCACTTACGTTTACAATCTGGTATTCTGCCAGGTGACCAGTACCCATTCTTTTGACATACCATATTGCTATTGCCACTGAGAGAGAATCCTGATTTACACGATACTGTACAGGTTGTCCCATATATTATGTCTCTACTATTGCAATTGATGTCGCCATTCTCAGGCCAGCGCAAGGGTCCACATCGATATACTTTAAAACAAACAAAAACACTTTGTTTAGTGATCAGCTTCATTTTCAGTCAAATGAAATCAATGCATTTTATATTGTATTTTGAAATGGTGTTAAATTGAGGTCATTTATACTATAAAGAAGTAGCGAAACAAGTTTTATGAATGTATCCATAACAGAAGGTATCTACAAGCGCAATGTCGTTGCGCTAAGACACTTATATCCTTAAATAGTTGTCAATAATTTTACAAGGATCCTATCTTATGTTACTTTTGCTAATTAGCAATTTACATGAACTCATGACACAGAACCACCAATTATTTTTCGTTTTACTGACATTGTGTATGTTTTATAATTGTACTTGAGGAAAGATAAAAAATGTATAAACGCTAAAGGTTTCTTTATTTTGTCTATAAAATTATTAACAAATATAATTGGCTTTATTCAATTTTGCAACAACGTCAAAGCTGTAAAATAAACGTTTTTTATAGATGTAAAGAAAGTAAGTAGTTTATTCTGTAACAGTTCTGTTTCAAAGAGTGTCTGATTTCTGTCTCAATATTTGTGATGTCATAACGTGCTTGTATATACTGTGTTTGTATATATTGTTGTTTACCTTTGACTTCGAATATAAGATAATCAGATGCTGATAGACCCCCTTCATCTGTCCCTATAAAATGTATAACATAAGACCCTTCGGTATATTCTCCACCACTTCTATAATTACTAGGTGAAGTAGTAATTCTGCAAAGAAGATATTCAAGACGATCAAAAGTCATAATCGTTGAAGATATTTTTAAGGTTAAATGAAATGTTTCATATCATATATTTATATATCAATTGTAAATTCATACTGTAAAAATGGACTACTTTTCTATACTTGCGAGAAATGAAAAAAATGTAGGATGTGGATCTACAATGAGGTATAAACAATTATGGTTTTTTTTTGTTGTTTTTGTTTGTTTGATGTTTTTAAAGCTGCATTTGAATCTCCATTTTAAGTACAAAAGTAACACTGACTTTGTTTGATGATTTAATGCATAGAAAGTTCAAAGATTTCTTGGGAAAAAAAGAAACATATCATCAATTACTTTAACGTTCCTTGTTCTGGATCCGTGATAACTGGCTCATCCCAATACACTCTGGTACTTAACCTTCTTTGTGCTGCGTAAATAGGTGTGCCTACCCTTAGTGCTACATTCCTAATAACCTTTGGGGGTCTGTTTGGAGGAGAATGGTGGTGATGATTATTGCCTAAAAGTGTATGTATGTAAATATATTATATTTAAATTTGCCACCCGTTTTCCATTTACATAATGTTTCACCAGATATTTTCATTCATTTGAAGATTTTAAATAAATTTGTTCGAAAATACGCATTATCAGACGTTTGCGTGTACTAGCAAATCACTAAAATTTGTCTTTGCGGCCTAACCATGTTATCAATGTAATTGTCCAATAATATAACATATCTAAAATATATTGTTACATAGTATAAAATTAAGATAGTTAAGTCGAAAATTATAAACTGTGTAAATTTCATCAAAACATTATTAATTTAAACTTACACAGAAAAAGGCAAAAGGCACGTGTCCAACCACCAAGGAATCTTTTTTTTCTTTGAACAATTCTCTCTTTAAAGTCAACAAAATTCGATTATTTAAGAAATATAACAAATCTCTTAAAACGAAGCCAATTTCATAACTTTAAATATTTAAATCCCATTTACATACTACAGATTTGCATTATAAGTACAATTGTACATTGTTAATCAGCTAGTTTTTATGTTTCTTACACACACACACGCGCACGCGCACACACAATCATACACACACGCGAGCGCGCACGCACACACACACACTCATTCACAATTCAGAGGCACTTGAAGTTATTTATAGATGCTCGAATAACAATAATATTTTGATGGTACTATAGGGCTTTAACGAAACACAGAAGAAAACAAATTAATTGTTTGCATTCAAGAGGAAAATGTACATGTACTTGCAGTAGAGGTTTCAGTGATGAATGGGAACTCATATTTATAACAGATTGTTTTTGAAATAACTGTAATCTGAATCAAAAAAATCATGAAAAGCCATGATTATGCTGGGATGGCAACGATGGAATTAAAAAAAATCCAGAACTACTACAAATACCATCAAAATGGCTTTTTATATATCTGGAAATTGCAATATATGGAGCATACCACACTACCAGAATATCATAAATAAGACATCAAAATCATTGCCAAAATGATTGATGCTGTATTTGTGTTAGCAAGATAGATTTGGCCAGATAAATGTAAGGATCATAAGTATATACATACTGTCAATTTTGTAAATTTGTACTATATTATCATTGTTTCTTATCAATGTTCGTATTGGTTTTATAACTCAATAAAGTGTGTTTGTTTGTACTACAAAATTGGTGATGAACTCCATGATAATTACATGATAAAACTGCTCTTAACTTAGTACCTTAGCCAAGCTTTGAAGTGCTTGACTTCTTGAACAATGTATGTATGTAAAAACACTTTAAAGTTTGCCAACAATGTTACAAATACCTGGAAAGGGAAGATACGCGATTGAGCACAGTAATAACAAAACAAAACAAAAAAACTAATAATATGTTGCAAATTTCAGATTTCAATATATCAAAGTGTCTTCATGAGAGATATTGTAAAGTGAAACATCACCACCGCCCCCTAGCATATTCTCAAGTGGTATTTAGCTATCAACACTAATGGTAAGGAAAATATAAAAACTCTGACAACTTTGTACAATTGTCACAAGATGACTATAAACAAATCTCAAACTCTTCGGGAACAATGAAACTTTTATGATATTAAAGCCGAAGATCGCACACTCCTCTTTAACATGTCTGTTTATGAAAGTCTTAAATTAAAACATATGACCAAAATAGAAGATGAAATGAATAGATATCTAAAATAGTATTTTGTTGTGTTTTTTCTACATTATCTCAATGGCTTTTACTTGCTTATGTAAAATACTTTATGAAATGAGAAAATTAAGCAAGTTATTGAAGTGTTATTATTGCTGTGTTGTTTTTTTCCATTCATAATTCGGATTTTAATTGTAAGTATTTGTTCATATTTTACCTTCTATAAACTTTCCACCCGCTGTGAGAGTAATCATTCCATTCTGACAAACCACTGGATATTCTTCATTTTCAAATATGCAAGTATTCCCCTTTTGTAGAAGACTAGATTCCGTTATATCAACAGAAATACCATCTCTATTTGTACACAATTTGACTGCCGACGGATTTCCGATCAGACAACCTTTCAAGTCTGAGCTTAGGTTAATATCAGTATCAATCTATTAAATATACAAGTTTATAGTTAATTAAAGCAAATATAGTTTTTTTTATAATTAAGGCACATTAAGACAATAAAAATTTCCCTATTTAAATCTTAATAGTTTTCTAGTGAAAGTGTTTAAATCATGGATATTACATTTTTACATTTTATACCTAATAAATCATTTACTATATAACACAGACTTATAATTATAAAACAGCAAATAAGTTAAAGTTAGTAAATCTTTCTTTTATCCTCCTTTAATGTTATCATTAATTTACTTACATCTAAGCTGACGACAGTATGGGTTGACCAAACCAAGAGATATAATAAAGGCAACATATCTGAAAATATATGTGCAGTTTATATTTACAATGCTACTTGTGGGGGATATAAAAGTCCAATACAGGCATCATCATAGAAACAATAATTTATTATAATTAATTAATTGATGAAATATTTCCTTTGCAAATTTCCTCTCTTTACCATTAACTTGCTTGAACCGGAAGAGATGTTGAGTTTGATATCCAACCCGTAATATTTAAAGAAAATTCAAAATACAAAGCTTGGCAAATACCTATCACAAAGTCAGTGGGTTAAGAGTTAATTTAAAGCGGTATGACTTCAGATTCATGCTTATTTTATGAAAATTATAAATATGTCTCAGGGTGAAAAAAATATGCAGTCTGACCGGGACTCGAGCCCAGGACTCGATTGAGTTATCTGGGCGCTTTCACACCTTCTCCGCTAGACAAAGAATAGTTCTGAACCGTGACATACTCCCCCGCTGTATTTGAATCCGTCCCCGAATTTCGCAGGGTTACAGAGCAATGCTTATTAAACTCTGATCTATATGAAGAAACGGTCCCTTCGTTAGGCGCAAAATGTCACAGGGTGAGAAAAATGTGCATTCTGACCTGACTCGAAACCGTGACCCTCGGAATACCGCTCGTCGGCTCTACCAACTGAGCTATCCGACCGCTTACACATCCCCTAAATAGTGAACAATTCTGAACCGTGACAAATATATTTTAAAGTTAAATATTCTGAAGTGAACAAAGAAAGTAATTTACGCATTGCAAACAGCGCTTGCTTACCAACAATAGGTCAAAAAAGCAAACATAACCCTTAAACATAGCGTGTTTTTCTTGTAAATGTTTCAGACAATTTGTCTTGATGAAGCTTACTGACAAATATGCCATTGGGAGCGCATAAATGCGCGATCTATATGTCAGACTTATTGTAAAAATTAAATTTCATTTTCATTTCATTTTGTTTTAGTTCACAAATACTCTTTGACAGTGATCGAAATATCTGAAGTGTATTCGACGAATTCAAAGTTTAACTACCGACTTGTTTTTATCATAGTACTATAAAAGTAGCTATTTTTGTCGTTGATCCAATACCTTTGTGTCACCGACAAAACATAAAATAACACGTTTTCACTCAACAATATATTTGCCCATTTCCTTCTTGGTATAATCAAATCAGATAATGAGCTGTCATTGAAGAACTATTTATAATTTCAAACATACATAGTTTCTTCCCTATCAATTTTGTTGTGTAAATAGTGATTTTGAAATGTAAATACGAATATTCTTGAATTTGAACCAAGTGTCTCCTTACGTTAAGTGTTTTGATATTTAAATCAGGAAGTAGAGACTTCAAATATTGTTAGGTTATCTAAGTTGTGAAACCGAGTTATTTAATATTTGTTCTTATTGATTTTAGATAACTATAGTTTCAGGGAGGTCATGTGTTCCAATTATTTAACACGTCATTCATTATCTATTATCTATTTATAAACAATCTTATGTCTGCATTGTTTTCTTTTTTTCTGTGCAGTATAGCTTTAGCAATTAATTTTCAAGATCATTGAATGCACTGATTATTCTGGTTGGTTTTGCTGTTGTTATAAACGATTATGCTCAAGAAAACGTATTCTTTTATCATCGCTGTTGCTAAAGGTTGCGGTAAATGTATTGTAGTCATAATTAATAAATATCCCACGCCGAAAGGCGGCGGGGGATATAGAAATAGTCTCCGTCCGTCTGTCCTTCCATCCGTCCGTCCTTCCGTCCGTCCGTCCGCCCTTCCGTTCGACATTTTTGTCCGGAGCAAATCTCAAAAAGTATTTGAGGTATCAACTTGGAACTTCATAGGTGGATAGATCTCATTAAGTAAATAGTGCAGTGCACAAGAATGATAACTCTACCCTTCATAATTTTTCAGTTATTGCCCCTTGTTTTTTTTCAAACTTAATTTTTTTAGCCTTTGAGATATCAACATGAAACTTCAAGGGCGGATAGATCTCACCCAGGAGGTGTGCAGTGCACAAGAATAATAACTCTACCCTGCATGATTTTTATTTATTTTTGCCATTTGTTATTTTTATATTTAATTTTTCACCTTAGTGGAGCATAACTCAAAAAGTTTTTGAGCTGTCGACATGAAACTTCAAAGGTGAATAGATCTTATTAAGGAGGAATGCTGTGCGCAAGAATGATAACTCTACTATTTAGAATTTTGAGCTATTGCTCTTTGTTATATTTCATACTTTTTGTCCGGAGCTTATCTAAAACAGTATTTGATATATCTACTTGAAACTTTATAGGTGGATAGATCATATTGAGGAGGAGTGCAGTGCATAAGAATGATAACTCTACGCTGCATTATTTATCAGTTATTGCCCTTTGTTATTTTTTAAATTTAATTTTTGTCTGCAGCATAACTCAAAATTCCTTTGAGATATCAACATGAAACTTCATAGGTGGATAGATCACACTCAGGAGGTGTGCAATGCTTAAGAAAAATAACTTTTCCTTTCATAATTTTTTAGTTATTGCCCTTTGTTATTTTAATACTTAATTTTTGTCTGCAGCATTACTTAAAAATCTTTTGAGATATCAACATGAAACTTCAAAGGTGGATAGATCTCGCTCAGGAGGTGTGCAATGCTTAAGAAAGATAACTTTTCCCTTCATAATTTTTTAGTTATTGCCCTTTGTTATTTTTATACTTAATTTTTACCTGAGGGGAGCATAACTCAAAAAGTCTTTGAGATGTCAACATGAACATGCATATGTGGATAGTCTTATTGAGGAGAAATGCTGTGCGCAAGAATAATAACTCTACCATTTAAATTTTTTTGAGTTATTGCACTTTGTTATTTTTCATACTTTTTGTCCGGAGCAAATGTCAAAAAGCGTTAGAGGTATCAACTTGAAACTTCATATATGGATAGATCTCGTTGAGGAGGAGTGCAGCACACAATAGAGATAACCCTACCCTGCAATATTTTTTAGTTCTTGCCCTTTGTTATTTTTACAAACTTAATTTTTGTCCAGAGCATAACTCAAAAAGCCGTTGAGATATCAACATGAAACTTCAAAGGTGGATAGATCTCACTCAGAAGGTTTGCATAACTCAAAAAGTCTTTGAGATGTTAACATGAAAATTCATAGGTGGATTTATCTCATTGAGGAGGAATGCTGTGTGCAGGAATGATAATTCTACCATATAAAACTTTTAAGTTATTGCCCTTTGTTATTTTTCATACTTTTTGTCCGGAGCTTATCTCAAAAAGTGTTACAGGTATTAACTTGAAACTTCATAGGTGGGTAGATCTCATTGAAGATGAGAGCAGCACACAATAATGTTAACTCTACCGTGCATAATTTATCAGTTATTGCCCATTGTTATTTGCCGCCAGCAGTATTCATATAGGTTTCAAATCTGTATTCACTTCAGCCATCAGTTTTCATTACCAAAATTAAATTGAATTATTTTGCTCTACTAAATATACATTCTTCCAATGAGCAAACACATTCGACGGGGGATGGCCATGCTGACATGGCTCTTGTTGCTATTTGTATTTTAAGTATTCGGACCGCCTTGTCTATTAATGCACAATCATCTGATGGCCAATAAGCGATAGATCTTAATCTAAAATGTGCCTTTGATGTAATGAAATTCAAAACAAAAAGAAATAGTAAAATTTATCTTTATCTTTAAGAAGATTATTCATTTGACAAGTTTATAAAATGTTTCAACTTTTTGTCTTTTTATAATAACACTTGGTGTAGATATACTTCGCTTAAGTAGGAAGATTTATGTACCATGTAGATACCCTCAAGTAAGAGCAATAAGCATGCGCACTATATTATGATAAATGCAGCGGTTTCCGGAATATTTTCGGCTACGCATATTGATTGTATGGACAAACATAATGACTTGATAAGTATCCTTATTTGAAAGAAATAACATTGACTATTTCAGGTACATGATGCAAAGTCAAAATTGTTTATAAATAGTCGCAATCAAGAAAAATATGACATTTTATGTATAAATTTCGCATGTTCGATAACCTTTAATATTAACCAAACTGTTTTAGCTAATAAATAAAAAAAAACGATTGTTGATATTTGATAAAAAAAGAATCTAGTTTGATAACGATTATTCTATCATTTGATAGAAAAAGTAGGAGATATCAAAAATACTTTGAAGTCTAAAATGGCCTTTTCAAAAAGACAACCTACATGTTCATAGGTAATAAATTGTTTCATCATATTTAGAATAGTTACAAAATACATACATTCCTTCAATGTCTTACGGCGGCTTTCAAGTTTCTCTTTCAGTAGAAAAAAGCTTGTGTTGTATTATGAGAGAACAGTACACAAAGGAAATGTGAATTTATTAAAAAACAACTACGTAGCATGTTTGTAAAATAATCCCCAAAATTTGTCTCAATATAATCAAGATTAACATCGTACATCTGTTTCTAAATTATGCACACTACAATGTTTTCAGTCTCCTGGTTTCTAAAGCAATACAATTCTTTCTTTACGATAATGGCTAATTAAACATCAACATGTTTCATCTGAATTTCTGCCAAGCCCACAATGTTAACGAATGTTCAACTTGTTTTCCTCCGAAATTTTGATCCATTAAAATACGCATAGAGATCATTAGAACCAGTATGTGTATGTATTAAATACAGACTAATGAGAAACAATTGCTGATGGCATTAATTCATATATCGTAAAGATTAAATTCAAAATAACTGAATTTTATATTTTGAATAAAATTTGTTGTTTTAAAATTTTCAGAAACTGATTTATATTTCCATAAACAACAAACACTTAAAGGTATTTTCAAAGTGGTTCTATGTTTAAGTATGAATAAAATTTCGAAAAGATTAACCTTAAAGTCGTTTATGAGTCAAGCTTGATTTCCCTTCGGAATTAGATGAATTAGTTTTTCAATTGGTTACGCGGTTTTAGAGGAGAAAAGGGGCAAATTGACGGTCAGCCTAGACTGACGAATAGCCTTAAAGTAGTATTTTTGTTGTTCCAAATTTAACAAAAAAAATTATATATATATATATATATATATATATATATATATATATTCCGATACATAGCTGACTCTGTACAAAAATATTCAACTGATTTTTCAATGAGCTGTATTTGAATATTTTTTTCTAATTCAATATATATTCACTTCATTTCTTCATAAAATAAATAAAAAAGGCTGAAAAAAATTAAGATATTTCCACTTACCGATATGTCAGTTCCGTTTGGTACCTTGGTCACATTAAATCATATGTTTTTCTTTTAAATTGATAACGATAGAAGAGAATTTCATTGTTTATCTCTTGGTTTCCTAGCCTATGATAACAATTTTATACACATGTATTGACATTTTATTTATCTGACAATCGGCTTGTAATAGACTTGATCTTTTGTCATATGTACCTAGTTACAATATACAAATATATTTATGTAAGAAATGCAAAGAGAAGCGGACAATCTCCGTGTAATTTGCAGAAAATATTAGAAACGATAGTTTAACGTCTCAATTCTGACTAAAAGGACGCAAAGAAAAGAGGAATTGATAAAAGATTGAACTTGATTTTCTGTCAGAATGTTAGCCACTTTCATGGTATTTCTGCCATCGACGGCAGCATTTATAATATGTATCTGCCTACAACGGCAGCATTTTTTCTTCGACCGGACAAGATTGAGCGTCTGTAAAACTTTCAAGAAAAGACTCACGGGGTAGATATTTGGCTTGCGTGACCCCAATGGATGAACGTCTATATTGATAACAGGAAATCCTGCCATTTACTTAAAACTTGAGATATTTTGAACAGAAAACAGACATTTTCACGGATTTTTCTAAGGCTTTCACTTTTAACCTGCTCAAAATAGTCTGAAAACAGGAAAAAAACGAGTCCAAAATTACCTTACAGTATCTCCATTCAATGGACAATAGTTTTATAGCAATGAAATGGGCCGTATTTGTGTAATATAATTAAACCAACCAAATTTATAACCTACCTGTATCGATCGGTAATTTTCAGATATCTGCCATCACTGCAGTGATCTGCCATCACTGCCGCCGGTAATACGGTGTGGGGATGGACTTGTCAAGAAATGTAAAACAAGGGGTTTATCTTTTTTTTACTGTCTGTCGTTGTAGAAAGGTCCAAGAACCCTTATTTTATTGTAATGGAATGTATCTCATTCTGTTCTATTGCACTGCTTACAATTACCTTGCCCTTGCTTACTATTGCAATGCCCAGTCAGAGGATGGACAACGACATTCAATACTTCTCAACTGTTAGGGCACCGAAGGCACAAGGGCAGAGGAAAAGGGCAGGGAAAGCCTAAGTAAACACTAGCAACACATTGTTGACTGTATAGGAGTTGTTTTTTAAATATTTGCTCATCAACATAAACGCATAAGGTCAATATAAATATCACACACTTCACAAGTTTATTTTTAAAAGACTTGTGTAATATCTCACATCTAAAGCAACAAGATAACAACTGTCATATTTTTATCGATATATTTTATTATTTTTTAATACATTTGTGACAAGTTCAATGAAATGATTCAATTATTGAAATTACAACATGTAGAAACTGCGAGCTGTTAGTTAAGAGCATGTTCGACTATTTTCAGTGCTTGATAATGAAAAAAATGTCCGGCCAATGTAGGAATGAATGAAGATAAAGATTTCATTCAAAATACATGACATTGTTAAAAGTTTTTTTATAATGAAGCAAATGTTCATTCAGTCAAATTTCAAGTCATAGTTCTGTAAGAGACATTCAATTATAATCACAAAGACATATAAAATCACAAGAAATATAGTGATTGATGAAATATGGAACTGTACAAGAAACTGCTCCCTAAACTTAAGCCAAAGAGCTACACCAAAGTCGATGCCCACAAAAAAGAATGACATCTCCATTTTTTTCAAATAGTTGAGCTAAACAGTATTTACTTCAAGTTGTAAAAGCTTAATCAAATTCAAATAAAACAATCTTTTAAATCTTACAATAAATTACACACCTTAACACTTAAAACTTTTCCTCTTTCATATTCTTGTTAGCAAAAATCAGACAAAACCAAATACATTCTTACATGTACTTAACTTCCTGTTATTTTTGATGAAATGTCAAGATATATAAAACAATTTTATATTATTTTTATTAAGTAATATTTTCTTGTTGGGTTTCAAGTCATACCAACGCTATAAAGCTCTGAGTTAATTTCCAAGCTTCATTTTGGGAAGGGAGACCTCAGGTGTCAATCCTTGACTTATTCCGGCAGATAAGGGCAACTAAGTATTTCAACCGATATTCCACAAGCTAGTTGAATAGGTTCCTCGAAATTTATTGCAGGATTATAACACACAAGTATGATAGGCATGTGTTTCAAAGTCAGATAAAAAAATTTAAAAATTGAATTTTGCACTTTCATGAAAATTAAGTTCCACTGAACATATACATGTATTTATAAAATTATCATGAGATACTGTATTTGTTATAATGTAGAATCAAAGCAGACGACATTTATGAAACACTTGTCTCCTAGTTTCCTTCCATACCTAGAACAAAATAGCAGGTAAAACATACACAAATCCGTAAGATATTGCAAAATCCCTTATACTACTTAAAATAGTCATTCATACATTCATTCATTCATTCATTCATTCATTCATTCATTTCTTTTATATGAATTTAAACTAACAAATTTTAAGTTATTTAAGACATATAACTGGCATATATATGACAATGTGATAAACTCACACAATTTTTTTTTCAATAAGATACTGAATGATTAATTATAAAGTAGAATGATCTATATCTTCATCATTTAAATTGTTTGGTGGATTTTCTCTCTAAAAAACCCCAAGCATATTACTTAAAAAAACAAATACGAATTAGGATATTAAAGTTTCCTCCTTGATTCACAAACTATAATAAAATACATGTAATTGAACATGGAATGTTTTTACTAAAAACAGAAATACTCCTACATATTGATTATTAAAATTGTAAGTCACATTTCACTTGACAAAACAATTGTGTTTACTTAATGAATTCACTTGTTTACAATCATGTATAACCATTACATATGTCTTTACATTACACATATTTAACCATTAGTCTGCTGATGACAACAGATTCTACCTAATTATGCCACATGTGAAGACCAAAAACTCAGCCAGAGATTCCATGCCTTCTGTACAATCATGGTCAACAACGTTTGCTATTCAGTTCACAATCTGACTACAGTTCAGATCTACTTATTTCTTACATGTTGATGCGTATCGTTATTGAGAGCTGATTTTAAACAGATTGTCATTAAGTCAGTACATGTTTTGAAAATTACCCTGAAAATGATGAATGGTTATGTCCATATTGAAAGACAGAGAAGTCCATTTTTGATATTTAGTGTTGTCACGATACCATCACTAACATTTAAAGTAAACAGGTGATATCATTTCAAAAATGGTGCATCACTGACATTTGCCTTTTTCAAAACCTGTTTTGGTCTTCTTAATATCATGCAATATAATTCTTTAATATAATATTTCAATTAGACTTACTCAAAAATGTAAAGAAAAACTTGAAACTGACTTGCTTTAAAGCCTTGTTGGCCTCCATTCATTTGATAATCTTTCGTGTCTGAAATAATGCACGTAAGGGCACTCGCGGTCTCTCCCACCAGTAAAGCTGGAACGTCGCCATATGACCTATACTGTGTCGGTGTGACGTAAAAACCAATCAAACAAACAAACAACTAGATACAATCTTACTTCCGAATTGGGAACTTCTAAAAATCTGGAAGCTTCTGAAATCCGAACAATTTTCAGGGTTCCGAAATTTTTCCTTCTGTTTTCTATATATTTGAAACGTCTAAATTCCGGAACTTCCAAATTTTGAATTTCCGAACTATTTTCAGGTAAAAATTAAGTTCTATCAGTTCAAATTAATTTCTAAAATCCGGAAATTGAAAAGAATGTGATTATTGTACTTGAAGATTATTAAACCTGCAAAATGTCAGTATCTTCCAATTAGCAATGACCATTTATTTTGACACCTAATGTAATCACAACCTACTAAGCATGTCAGACCCTTGATTTTTACGAAGTGAGAAGTATATTGTGAAGAAAAAAAGATTAAAGGTAAATAGCTCGTAGTATACTAAACATGTTGAAAATAAATTGTGATAATAAACTTCTATTGTATCAACCAAGTCAGTTATTCGTGATAATAAAATTTAATAAAGTTTTTTAATAATCCTAAAAATTCTACCATTTTGTTAATTTTATCAGCTTCATATATTTTTTGTCATGTCTTACAAAGCATCTGTTGTTTCCTGTTCGTACTTGTTCATATAATTCTTCACTTTTGAACTCCGAAAACTTCCAAAAAGAACTTTTTGGCTAGTCTCTGAGGTGTTCGGTTTTCATATGTAACAATGAATTGACAACTCTGACATGTAAAATCAAATAATATATGCCTTATAATGATAATTCCTCAAAAAATACTCTAATGTAGTGTGATATATCTATCAATTATAAATCATTCTAATTATATAGTGTGGTAAAAACTTTTGATTATAATGTATAACATGAAAATCTAGTTCAGAAAAGATGAAAACAGAATTTCAGACCAGTCTAACAATGAATGTCTGTAATTGGCTAAAATCCAAATTGAAATTAGTTATCAGAAGTAACCAATCAAATGCTGGAAACTTCAGACTGGTCTTCATCTTTCAGAACTTGAGATACAGAATAAGTTATGTTGAAACAGCAATATATATTAAAATAAGTTATGTTGAAAGAGCACTATATATAAAGTAAGTTATGTTGCAACCGCAATAACGTAATTTATGTTGGCACATCAATAGACCAAACGTTATGTCGCCGTAACAAGAATTTTTGCCGTCTTTATCAAATCATTTATCAAGACTGGAAGCCCAGCATAAATGACAAGCATCGATATTAGTACAATCAAAGCCATCAGATTGATGAGAAGAGTTGAAGGAATCTCAAACTTAAACTTTCTGCAGCATCTGATGGAAGATCCCGAAGCGTCTGTCGAATTATCCGGGAAATCAGTAGCTGTGTTATTCACACATTGAATGTCCGTCAGACTTAACGCCGTTTTGTCCCGAGATTTACTTTTACATTCACGGACACGCAGAGCCACTAGTGAAGGGTTTCGAATTAATGTAAAGGCAAGCAACCATCTTTTCTTTGCAATGCTGTTTCCTGAAGAAAAATATTAATATGTACAAAATAATACATTATTTTCAATTTACCGTAACATTAAATCAATCAAGGAAAAAGTTTAAATAAAATGAAAATCAATTTAAACTACTAGGGTTTGGCTATCTTAAATATGACATAGAAGAAATAAACTCTATGTCGGAGAAGGGGCATAATTTTGTCAAAATATTTGACAGAGTGATCATTTTGCCTGGAAATGGGAATGATGGTCATTAACAATTTTCAAAACAAAAATTCTCAAAGGGATAGGAAATAAGTGGTATGGTAACAATAACTTGTGACGCAGACGCCCCGGTGAGTATGATACCTCTTTCTATCATACATTGTTTAAATGCAATAGTCAGGCTAAAATGTCCGCATCTGCAAACTATAAGATCAACACCAAAAACGACAAGAAAATCAGCGTTTCTAGCATTTATTTCTGACATCGTACCTGTTTCGGATGGAATGTGATCTGGGATAGTTAAATTGCAATATATAGCGTTCTCCGCAGCAGATCTCAAAGGTTTCACATCTCTTCTATTTTCCACAGCATTTTTCACAAGGAAACAAAACACGCGCATTACAGGGTGATTGTGTGCCACGTCGACCATTATCATTCCAATATAGTTTACATAGCCTGAAATTTAATATTCCTTGTTTGATGAATACGTAATAACGTCCGTGTATCTGTCATTTTCTGTTTGTAAGTTTGCGGAAGAATGAAACATAAACGTGGCATAAAGATACAAATTATCACCTGCCAACTAATTATCGCCTGAAAATAGGAGAAAATGTGTTTTTATCAGTTTTTAAGTCGCAACGCCACTTCATGCCTTCACGCAACTTTTCAACGTATCTGGTGGCGGAAGACCATTAGGTACCGTCTAGGCACTTGCGGTCAATTGAGTATGACCATTGACGTTGGATTCAAAGTCACAGCAGTGAGGGGCAAGTAGTGGTTCGAATTCAACGACTTTTACCACTCAGCAACTGACGCCTTTAATTTATAGCTTTGACATATCATTAATTATTGAATTTTAAACCTGATAGAAAAATATTACGGGCAGTCATTTAAGGCCCATTATGCGTTGGAAATGCTTCCAATTTTATTTCTCAAAACTTTTGCTTATGGTTTCTTGTTACAGTTTTCAAAGTAATAATCATTTGCCGTATATATGGTATAGTTTCTGCAACTATATAAGAAAATACAACTTTGTTTACATTTTGCTACCTTTATGAGCCATTACTGCACATTTAGAGCTATTTTTTATCCAGTTGTTAGACATTTAACAACCTCTTAATCCATTATTCAAACGCAATTTAAATAATTAAACACATGTCTGACATTTCCAAAGTATAGATAAAATTTTGACTTCTGAAGCATTATGTGCCTATAAAGAATGAAATATACGAACATTTGTCCATGGCTTCATAACCTCGCATTAGCAGGCTTCGATCCATTCTTGGTATCATAAATACACCCAAAAATGCACCAAGTAAAATACGTTTGAGGAAAGTAAAGAGTCCGATGCTAGCGTTAAGGAATATAGCATAAAAGTTGACAACGTCGTAAGCATTCCTAATAGAAAAAATAACATTTATGAAAAATAAGCAAGAAATCACTGCATAACTCGTTCGTACAAAATAGGTCTAGTCAATTGGACCAAACACCTTGACTGATGATACCCAATGTTAGATTTGTATGTATGTATTTTCACTCTCGCTGTATTTAATGTATGCTGTATATTTGTGTCATGGCGATGAAATCTTATGTTCAAACATATTGAATAATAAATCTGCTGAAATTCTATCAAATTCTTTATTTGTTTTATGAAACATTTAATTTGAAAGCCGAAAATCGACCGACAAGATTTTATATGCATTTTCATTTTTTCCATAAATCCTTTTCTGAAATAGATAGAAGCTAAAAGCTAAATGGTTAGTATGCTTAGATTATTAGATATGGCTATATTTAAATGAAAAATTATTCACCTGTTATCTACAGCTAGGGGTCTATATTTGTCCTCAACATTTATTTTTGGCTGGATGAAGTATCGACCAATCAAATAAGTTTGCAGTTTAAATATGATGATGATACACACCGGGTATCTGAAATAATAAATAAAACACTCCATAATATCAAAATTTTGAAATATTGCAATTTTTACACCATTACAGCATAACATTTGTAGGTCTGAAATAATCAATCATTTTATTTCACTTATCGATCAAATCAATGTGAGAGACATATAAATAACAAATAAAGGTTTCACTGATTATTTTCCGACTTAAGATTTAATTCCTTAAATGTTTACTTTTTCCATTTTAAATTTTCCACGTAAATTGTCTTTGTTCAAGGTTGTACATACCCTGTCATGTAAAATTAAGGGCATGACTTATTCTATTTCTTCCATATCAATATAGTTCAGCAGGCACTATATTAACGCTTTATGAATTACTAGAACGTGTTTTTGTTGGGTTTACGTCGCAACAACAAAGTTTAGGTCATAAAGCGACTTTCTACTATTACTAGTGGAGGAAGATGTCATGTGTCCCTCCATGCATTTTTTTTCATACACGACCAAGCAACTGAGTAGAATCGCCGACGTTCCGTAAGCTAGCTGCATATCTTCCTAACGTGAAAGAATCCAAAGTCCCTGGCGAATTCAAATCCACAGGTGTGAGGGTCAAATGGTTTGAAGTCGACGACGAGTCCACGGACCTGGCCCCGCCCAGGAATGTTTTCTTGCGAATATATACATTATAATTATGCTCATATAAAGAACGCAGTGACATCGACTATTTTTCAAGTTAGTATTGTGACTTTGTATAGGTTTGAACTTTTATAATTAACTTGAAACAATTTCATTCTACCGAATAAAATCAAAAGATAAACATACACATTTTCAAAAGGTAAAAACCCCTATATTCGAATTTAGAAAATAAAACAAACTTGAAAAAAACTTGCTGGAACAAAGGATGTCCTAGCAACGCGTTTTAGACAACCGTTAATTAAACACCCGGAATAAATTAAATAACGTATGCTTAATATCTGATGTTTAATTCATGCACAATGAGGTTTATAAAAACAAAAAAAGATGTTTTAGAAAGGATATAATGAATTTTATAAAATGACTACAGTCAAAGAGTATTGTTGAAGTTAGAAATTCGAGGAAAGGCAGATAATATAAGTACACAAGCCATTCAAACTGAGTCCAAATCTGGTCAAGTTCCTTCCTCAAGTTAAGCATTTTGATGACCATCAACATCAACGTCAAAGGTACAAACACAAGTAGATAGCAAAAAACTGTTCCTGTAATAAAAGATGATGCAAGATTGATTAAAGTCACGTTATATTTACAAAACTGTACCACAACTTGAAAATGAAAAGATGAGCATATAATGTCACTTTAAAGGTATTTATTGTCATCGGTTTGATTAAACATGGTTATTGGCAGTAATGGTTAGAAAAAGGTACCGTCTAGGTCCACTAGCAGTGGCCTAAACTGGTTTAATGGTGAAATCTGGAATTTTAAAATATCCACAGATGTGTTCATACGGCATTGATCATGTAACCTTTAACATGACAATTTCTTGACAAGGCTGCTTATAGTCCTAAAATAATGTGTGTGCACTAAACGAGAAAACAATAGGCGGAACAAAATAAAAATGAAAGATGACTAGGTTATAAAGCCTATATGTCACACAAGTTAAAGCAAAACACTGGCATCTGCATTGTGTTCGTAAGTCGTCGCTTAAAGGTCCATTATGCCTCAGAAATGCTTTTAGATCGTACTTTTCATTTTTAAGTGGGTTTTAGTTGTTGTTTTTTGTGTTGTTAACTTGTTATAATATCCAAAAAGGTAGTCATTGGCAAAGTACCTGAACCATCTTTTCCATCTGTTGCTTTTTGGTAATAAGTTCAGTTATTAATGAATTTGTATTTTGTATGGAAGTTAAAATAATACTTTGTTTACATTTTGCTACTTTAACAATTAAATATTTCACATTTATTGCTACATTCTTCATGTAACAAGCATGTAACATTCTCTAAAAAAAATAGTCTTCACATTATAAAACTCCTGTTTGGCCTTTCTGAATAAGTTAGGATTTATTTACTACTGAGGCATAATGTGTCAAATATAATACATCTTTGCCTACCCCAAAACATTCCCGTAATTGATGTTCCAATGAACCGCATCCCTTGAGCCTGAAATAAGTTATGAATATATATCTTATGTTAAATTTAAGATAATCAAGTTACTCTCATATTTCATACATAAAATTGAATAAAGTTTTGTGATTATAATTCGGCACGTTTGTATTAATCGTTTATATATTATAGTTTTATACACATGGCTGCTTTCAACTTGTGCATTGTTCCTGTAAGAAAGGAAGTTTTGCTGTATCATAAATTCGTTATAAAGATTCCTGACAGGTTATATTGCCGAATATAAACGGTTATTTGCAATATAGCAGTTGCCTTGCGGCTCGGGTTATATATGCAAACAACCGTTTATAAATGACCATATAATATGTCAGGAATATTTGTAACTAATGATATAATGGTTAAATTGCAATGAACGGTGTTAAAGAAAATTTGTTTAATATGAATATAGTGTTAAGATAAAGAGTTATTCATAGAACTGAGTACAAACGTTAGTTAAAGCGACATGCTTTCAGGTGAGGACAATAAATAAACTAAGTAAACGAAAAAGAATTTACAAGCCATGTGAAACTTCCAGTGTATTTTTACGACATAATTTATCGTGTTTATAATCCAAATTCGTTATTTGTAGCATACAGGATACATTTCCGAATGATTTGAAAAAAAGGGTTACATCTATTTGTTAACTTTTTACAAAGATATAGAAATTGATGCAAAATCAAACAAAACTTGAAAAGCTTACCATGTAAACATTTGGCGACGGTGTTTGTACAGTATCGGGGATGAAGTTCCTTTCACCCTTGTACAGCAAGAGCATGTCTCGCCTGAATCATATAAACTTATATTATAATTATAATTTCATGTATATTGTTTGTGGTATAAATAATCTGTTATAGTAGTGATCCGTAAAATAGACACAAGTAAATGCGACTCTTCTACGACCAAACCTAATGTACTTTAAAACAGTAATAACTTAATCATTTCAGTTCAAATAAATTTTGTGGTATTTTTCAATATATACTTGCCCCAGAGATTTCTGATTTAAAATGAGAAAAATATACAAGAATGTGTTGTTTGAACTGTATGTTTTTAATAGTGATAACACAATTACAGATGTCTCTAAATTTCTAATTTTCACTAGTGTCAAGTATGAATGTTGATCCATCTTACGACGGTGCTAGGGAGCGTTGTCAGTCGCGCGCATTACGACTACCGTCTATGAACAGGCTCAATCTAACCAGCCTGAAACATTTTCATATTTGCTTATTTGGGAATTGTTTAGGAACTGTGTTTGCCTCGTTTGCCTATTGTGTGTTGACTGTCCGGTACACGGTTATCAGAAGAGGGGTAAACACAAAAAAAAATGTCGTTCGCCGTTGGCTTGTTGGTATTGAAGGCGTTTTCCTGATCATTCTAAAGCATTTATTCCAATGCTTGAAGAAATTCTGAATATTGCGTTGGCAGACATGACACATGTTACAATTTCCATTTCCGTTAAAAAACCCAATTTAAGTCTGGAATGTCCCCGAGAGCATTAAAAACAAAAATATGTTTTACAGATTTTCTCTATAAAAAGGATAGTATTCATAACTGAAAAGGATAGTATTGATAACTGACCTGTAGTTCATTAGTACGATATAGATGTTTCTTATCCCACACAGCAACGTAATCGTAGTAGCAATAACATTGGCAGCTGAAACAAATAAAACTACAATTTGATAAGGTACAGGATGTAGAGATATATAAGAATTTCAGAATAAGAAGATATTGAATGAGTGTTAGTTTAATACTGAATTTATTGAACGAGTTGAATAAAATAATATTATCCAAGCCTATGGCGAGCATAATATTATTTCATTCAACGGGTTCAATAAATTCAGTAATAGACGTACACGAATATAATATTCATTTTAGCACATACTCAAAATAAAAACTATTAAAAGTAAAAAAAGTAACATTTTTCATTGACGCGCCTATAATATAATTATAACGGTAACATTTAGCGCGTCATTACACTATGTTTGTACATTGTATAACGTAAATACGAGTAATGTCACGTCAAAATATATGCATGGCCGTACGGAATCGTAAAATAGGCACATGTATGTAATAATTGGTAAAATGTACCCTGAGTTATATTTTTGTCAGAAAGGCTATAATTAAGTCCCAACAGTGATTTCATCGCTAAATAAAGAAACTGTTTGGAGTTCGGATGCGAGCAATTATATCACGATGGCGTACTTAGGTAATAATTATGTGCACCCGAATGGCAATGATTTTATAAAGTGATAAAATCACTGCTTTATATTACATTTCGGTTCTTAAACGACATAAACAATTCTAACCCAACCCGCATTTTTTCCTTTTGAACATAGAAGGACCGAAAGTGTGTGTGAATATAGAATACAAGAGCGATCAGTAATCACATGTGTCGCCTCATGATGGCCAATTTCATGTTGGGACACATTTTGTGATAGACAGACAGACAGACGGACAGTGCACAACTAGACTTGGTACTGATCATTCCTGTAAAGTTTGGATAAAATTGCACCAGTAGTTTATGAGGAGTAGTCCGGACAAGCTTTTGCGTATCTGGCAACACACAGAAAAAAAGACCTTTTTATCAAAGGGCCATAACTCGGCCAAAAATCATTCAACCGGAAAACCCGTGCAATATGCGCAAGAACTTGAGCTACAGATCAATCCTGTAAAGTTTCATTGAAATTGCATTAGTGATATAAGAGAAGTAGTCCGGACAAACTTTAAAAATAAAAATTATTAAAGGGCCATAACTCTGACAAAAATCATTGAACCGGAAAATGCTGACAATATGCACAACTAGACTTGGTACTAATCATTCCTGTAAAGTTTGGATGAAATTGCATCAGTAGTTTATGAGGAGTAGTCCGGACAAGTTTTTGTGTATCTGGCAACGACAGAAAAAAACACCTTTTTGTCAAAGGGCCATAACTCGGCCAAAAAATCATTTCAACCGGAAAACCCGTGCAATATGCGCAAGGACTTGAGCTACAGATCAATCCTGTAAAGTTTCATTGAAAATTGCATTAGTGGTATAAGAGAAGTAGTCCGGACAAACTTTAAAATTAAAAAATTATTAAAGGGCCATAACTCTGAACAAAAAATCACTGAACCGGAAAATGCTGACAATATGCACAACTAGACTTGGTACTGATCATTCCTGTAAAGTTTGGATGAAATTGCACCAGTAGTTTATGAGCAGTAGTCCGGACAAGTTTTGTGACGGACGGACGGACAGCCGGACAGACAGACAGACAGACGGACAGACAGACAGACAGACAGACGACGGAGAAGTGATCCCTATATGTCGCCACTACTCCGTAGAGGCGACACAAAAACCACTGTTTACGTTTTACATGTATGCATATGTTATTTTAACATCTTAGTTAAGGAGTTCACATACTGTAGTAGTATTATTTACCTTGCATAAGGTCTTCAAAATCTCTGAAGTAATATTTTTTCGATTCTAGTTCCATAAACTCAGCACAGTATAGACTCACCTGACAATAGAAAAAAACTTTTTTACATAAATTGTTTTACTGATATTTACGGTGTCACATTAGGGCTATCCCGACACACACATAACTCGAAACAACCAACAAAAAGAAATCAGATTATACGATGATAAAAATTCGAAATAACTAAAACCACGATGGTAAAAACTCAATATAATTTTGAATTTTAATACCATATTTTCGACCTTTCACTATTGTGGATTTGTTGCCTCTTTACTTTGAATTTTCGCCGTCGTATTTCCGAATTTTTGTTGTTTTATGTTCGAGTTTTCTGTGTCGTGATGGCCATAACATTTTAGATATCTTAATTATATCTATGGGCTCAAATCCTGCAATGTATTCTTTCACGTACAAAGGACAACAAAATTGTCTTGGGCAATGGATATTTTCACTTGAGAAAGCTACAGGACTAACCCATAGAATGTTTGTGGCTCTTTTTAGTGCCTCAAATAACGGCCGGAGGGGCACTTAAGGTCTACTTTTTCCACCAGTAAAAGCTTGAAAGTCCCTATATGACGTTGACAATGTCTGTGCGACTTAAAACCACATTAAAACATAACAATCAAGAAATAATATCGGTTTCAGCAGTGATTATCAGCAACTTAAAATCGGTTTGGAGTTTCGATTCGTAGGAATTGACCAAGAACTGCCAATTCATCAAAACCAGTTGCATAACCTATCAATATATGTCCTGCAGTCAAAGATATTACGGTTATGGTGCACTTAGAAAATTATTTTCACACATGAAGAAAAAATCATACTATATATATTTCAAGAAACTACATACCATGTACAATAGCACACCAGACATAAATGATGTTATCGTGATGGAAATAGGAAATCTGAATCCTGGCTCAGGTCGTATTATCTTGCGATGTATCTTTTGCTTCCATGACAACCTTCGAACAATTATAACAGAATTTTAGACAGGACCTTACCACATGTGTATTTTTTGAAAATGGAAATATCTAAGAAGTGATACATGTTGACATAAAAACGAGCTCAATTGGAAAATATCGTTACATAAAACGTTTCTATTTATGGACTTAATGGAAGGCATATGAGTGGCATGGTCAATGTCGTCTGCTGCGGATTCATTGCCATTGACCCATGTGGATTCGACTCCCGTCAGAGACGTTAAGGTATATCATATGAGCCGTGTCACGACAAAACTAGCATAGTGCGTTTGTGACTAGCATGGATCCAGACCAGCCTGCGCATCCGCGCAGTCTGATCAGGATCCATGCTGTTCGCTATCAGATTCTCTACTTGTAATAGAGTTGGTAAGCGAACAGCATGGATCCTGATCAGATTGCGCGGATGCGCAGGCTGGTCTGGATCCATGCTGGTCGCAAACGCATTATGTTGGTTTTGTCGTGACACGGCTCATATGAAGAAGCTATCAGGCTACTTTGACTTTACGTAGATCATGTGTTCTATTAACCTTACCGGCCTAAATAACTTTCATGAACTTAACCATTCAATATTAATTTTACGCAAAAAATTTATAATATATACTGGTAGAATAGAGAACAGTGCAGGGCAAGATCAGATGATGCGAATGTACCGGCCGGTCCGACATAAAAAATTAAAGAACTTATTCATCAAGCGAAAATTTTAAAATGTGATCTAAAGGAAATACATTTCATATTATAAAACCAATACAGAATTACGTAATTTTTGGTTTGAACAATTTGGTTTTAGCATGTTCAAAAACACTTTTACTTATACATTTGTATTTACTTACGTTTCGTCAGATTTAAAGGATCGTTTGTTCAGAAGATGTTTTACGTATGTTAAATGATATGATTTACATAGTTTCACTTGTTCCTAAAAAACATAAATGTAAAAAATAATCCAGAATAGTAAATACATAAATCCGTATTTGGAGCTTTTAGGATTCTTTAATGAAAAAGTTATAAATATTTATTAGATACTTATCAATGAAATATTGATGAAATAAAATGCGTATTTTTATTTTCCGTATTTTCATTTCCTACCACTCATGTGCCATACCACTCGATGAAAATAGATCCTGTATTTATAAAAAAAACCTGAATATTCTCTATGTATTAACAGGAACTTTTTTCGGAAACTGAGAATCGAATGTTTCTATCGGTCTTTTATCTAAAGCAGTGTTAATGGTCTGTTTAGAAACAGAAATAAATGCAGTCAATTTCAATCACAACTCTAATTGCTAATACATCATACCTCGTAACTAATTTGGTAATTTCCTTTCCTTAAACATTTATACAGTTTCCAACAAAACTTCAACACTACTAGAAAGTTGCATATTGCCACGGGCATTTCCTGTATGAGGATATGGGCTGACACCTTCACATCGTTCTAAAATAAGAAATATAATATCATGCAAAGTTGAATTGTGTATTTAAAGAGGGTTTTGAAAATATAATTACAACGGTAGATTTTCTGTTATCTACTTGAAGGGTGTTGTGTTACATGACAGATGCCATAATGTCTGAAGAAACTATCAGTTTAGATTGTAAAATTTATTGAAAATCGAAACACTTAATCTTAACAATAAGAGTTTTAAATTCCTACTCGAGGGTCTATATACTAACTATAGGGATTAAATATTTACCCGAGGGTCTATATACTAACTATAGGGGTTATATACTTACTCGAAGGTCTATATACTAACTATGGGGATTATATATTTACTCGAGGGTCTATATACTAACTATAGGGGTTATATATTTACTCGAGGGTCTATATACTAACTAAAGGGCTTTAAACATTCCCGAGGGCCTTTATACTAACTATAGGGATTATATATTTACTTGAGGGTCTATATACTAACTATAGGCGTTATAAATTTACTCGAGGGTCTATAAACTAACTATAGGAATTAAATATTTCCTCGAGGCTCTATATACTTACTATAGGGCTTATATATTTACTCGAGGGTCTATATACTAACTATAGGGGTTATATACATACTGGAGGGTCTAAATAATTACCATAGGGCTTTTATATTTACTCGAGGGTCTATATACTAACTATAGGAATTAAATATTTCCTCGATGCTCTATATACTTACTATGGGGCTTATATATTTACTCGAGGGTCTATATACTAACTATAGGGGTTATATACATACTGGAGGGTCTATATAATTACCATAGGAGTTTTATATTTACTCGAGGGTCTATATACTAACTATAGAGGATATATACTTACATAGGGGTCAACATATTTCACAAAACAGATTCCTATCGCGACATTTGAAAACATCTCCGAACCAAACCTAACAAAGAAATTTATTCTTTTTTGTACTATGATATACATGTAAATCAGTTTCACAAAATAACTAAACTATATAATATTATATAATGAGAAATGTAATATATTTATCAAAGGTCGCCAAAAGTAAAACTTAAATGACAGTTTTAGAAGTGTTTTAAATATATCTGTCAATGTTTTCATACATCGAGTTCATTCTTTCATTTTTCATTATAAAATATATTCTGAATGCATAGTAGTTTTGACCAAACAAATATATTAAACAAAATTTGAAAAAGAGGATACCCCTCGATAGCAACGAAAGCAAGAATACCATATTAAAATTGCAGGAACATTTTGATTGAGTCTTTTCATGAGAGATAATTGTAAGGTAAATTATCTCTCGCCCCCCCCCCCTCCAACACCGTCTTAATCGGTATTCACATTTCAACACTTATATGATGGAATGAAAATTCAGTATAATAAACGATAGATGAGTTTAACAAAAAGTTAGCATTTAACCCAGGGTTAATTATTTTACCAGCTGAAGGATAACACATGAAGATGCATGCAAATTATTATACTTGAGGTGGTGAGGGATGAAATGTTGGAGTAGTGGATGGGTTGAGTTGGGTTTTTCGTCGCACCAAAACAGCAGAGGCGACTTTCCAGTTTTACTTGTGGAGTGCATTATTTTAGGCACGAGTGTGAACCTAAGTAGAACCACCGGTGTTTAATAAGCTAGCTGTAAAGCTTTTTTACATTAAAGAATCCAATACCCTGGATGGAATCGAAACAACAGCAGAGGGAAGTAAGTGAATCGAAGTCAAAGACTTTAACCCGTCGACCAATGACGCCCCCTTCCTCTCCCCTGCCCCCCCCCCTCCCCCCCCAAAAAAAAAAAAACAACAAAAAAACCCAACACACGCATGCACGCTAACACAAATCGCACACACTTAAATTAAGAATAGTAAAATAAACATCAAATGAATGTTAATATTGTTTTAGTGTGACACGACCACATAATTTAGTAATGCTTACCATGCTAAAGAGTAAAGAAGTCCCGCTATAGCGCCAACTAATTTATGACGTGTCGTCATGCAGGCAAATAATGGATAACATATCACACTAGCCTCCATACATAAAATATATACCATAAAAACTGAAAAATCAAATATATACTTTTAATACATAACTTGTGAAAATTATACTTAACTTTAATACAGAAATATCAATAGCTGATCATATACAAGATGTCATTGAAATCTAGGCCAACTTATTTAACTTTAATTTTTTTAATTCTTTTTCAACAAAAAAGTTGTAAATTTAGAATTTCAAAGTTAATTCATTTATTATTAAACTTTTGAACAGTCAAGTGGGCGGCGAATATGCAGTATCATATTATATAATTTATGTATTTATTAAAATCTTCATAGAGGCAAAAAACACAGAAAATGACGAACTGGCTTAACTAATTTATACAATATAGTTTTATATCAACTCATTTTTACACTTCAATACGTGCGAAATTTCTAGAACTTATTAACTTACTTTTCGCCCATATCGGCCAGTCTAACTGGTCAGATATCGCCTTTCGTACTATTTGTATAATATTACCGGTCACGGACCCAAATACGAACATCACACCCCAGCGGTTAGAAGGCTCGTCCAAAAATCCGAGCGGCCTGTTAAAAAAGTTATTGAAAATTCAGCAAGATATGTGCAAGAAACAGTTACATGTTTATTAAAGACTGAAGATGTCCCTGCATACCTTGCATATAAAAGAGACACCTGATTCCTTTGCAAACTCTTGAATAACATATTACACCTCAATTTGCTCTCACGTTTTCTCTCTTATATATATTAGCAATGGACATTATGGAAAGACATAAAAATAGTCACATAGAAATTATACAAGGATCAAACTCCGAATTATTTTAACTGAAAAATACACGGTTTATCTTATATATATATTAGCTTCTAACATAGACGATTTAGACATTTAAAAACATGATGTTTACTCATTTTTATTTTTTTCTCCTAACAGTTTTGTAACGTTAATTTCCTACAGCCCACTGAGCCCAGTTTGTTAATGCAAGTGTACCACGTGACTAACAAATGTACACTGTTACATAGGAAACAGTACCTTTTAACAGTAAAATTGATTTCCTCAGATAACAGTTATTTCCTCGGAATGATTCTTTTCCTGTTACCAACACATTTATATACTATTATTATTATCATGGTTTTAGAAATACTGTAATAATTTAAGACTTGATATACCGTACAAGACCGGGACGGCCTCCCATTATGTTTTGTTTTATCGTCCTCCTCTTCTCCATAAAACACAATAGCAGCATGATGGCAACCTTTAAATGTAAGTGAATCATGCGAGTCTAAACTCCATTAGCAATTTACTGTATACAGTAGGGAAAAACTTCGATAGCCTCAATATAGCAAGTGGATATATCGTAAAGACACTTTCATTACCTCAAGTGCACAGGGGAGGTACTGTTACACGAGGGATGGAGTTCTCATATAGTATATACAAAAAATTTCCGACGAACTCCGTGCAGTAATCACAAGAACTCCTGACAAGTTATCATAAAAACTCCATCCCTCGTGTAACGGTTCCTCCCCCGTGAACCGTAATATCAGTCAGAACAATAGTGAATCCACAACTGTGATATCATTCATTTTTACCAGAACAGTTTTGTTTTACAACCATTTCCTAATATCCATCAATTCAATTATGATTGAATTTATTATCCTCAACTCTAACATAACAGACGAGTTTCATAATCTCAACTATGATTTAATCAAAATAATTGTGAGAACTGTCATATTCACGTTGCTTTGGCCTTATCAAATCAAGTGTGATTATTGAAGTTTTACCCCAACTTTGACATGGATTAAATTCATAGTTTCACAATATTCAACTAGGAATATTGAAACCAACATCGAGAAAAGTTGACATTTACAACAAATGGATTTGAAAAAATTAATAAGCCAAAGCAACAATTTAATGCCAATCGTAAATGTCTCCCAATATAGTATAATTGAAACATATTGCAATTCAGTTTGATGGAAACTCATCGTAGACGGCAGTGGTAAAATGCAAGCAATCGATTAGGCTTGATCAAAGCCACAACACGATGCAAATGCAGTTTATGTATATTGTGTAACTTAGATGTAAGTTACAACTGCAGATGTTTATTCGGCGGTGATCGTGGAAACTACAAAATCACTCCTGTCTTTGCTCGTGTAATTTCGACATTTTGTCGCTCGTCGTGATTTTGTTATAATCAAAATATTCATTTATATGGTAAGGATCATCAAAAACAATTTTTACAGAAAGACAAACTTCCTACAGTTACTTCCCTGGCTTAATACACTAAGTATGTTGATGAATGATTTTTATATTGATAAAAGTTGTCAATTTTGACTAAATATAATCGAGTTATGCTATAAGTTCCAGTAACACAGATATCATAACCACTAGTGTGTCATCAAGCCATAACTTTGCGGATAGAAACGTATACCTACATACTTATTTTTATTACTTACGGCTGGAATTAAGAACCAGTGGTTGGAATCCACTCTAAAAGTGGATTCAAAGACAGCGTCTTTACAAAATTGAAAGAATGGCTCCTCGGTTGTGGTCGCCATGTCCTCGACCTCGTCTGTTTTCCTATAAAAATAGAGTTTTTGATGACAGCAGCTGTTATTTATGTAGAAGCTTTGGCTGTATTGATAAAGACATTTCTGCATGGCGGTTGTTTTTATGGTGAAAATTGAGCTGGTATTGATGATAATTATGATACTGCTACCGATAATGATGAAGATAATCATAATGATGAAAATGATGAATATTGTGATACACGTTGACGGTGATAATGCACGACGATGAGGATGTTGATGTTGTTGCTGATGATGATGATCGTTGATTATTTCCTATTATTAATCATTTATTTGTTTTCTTTGAATTCCTTATTAGTTACAAACCATTTATCATTTTAGTTATGAACCTGCCCGTGCCCTGTCCTGTTAATGTTGGGTCCGCCTGGGCTCCTTGCCACTGGTTCTTGTTGCTGGGTCGTGTGGGGGTTGCGTTCATTGAACGCCGCCTTTCCTTGTTGATCTTGTTTATCATTTTTTTTTGTCGATGGTGATTGTCATGATGATGATAATATTGATTGCGGTGATGATGATGATGATAATGATGATGATGGTGATGATGATGATGATGATGATGATAATAATAATGATGATAATAATTATAACAATGATGGTGATGATAATAATAATAATGATGATTTAGTGGTGAAAATAAGACAAACATGCTTTGTACATGTACATTGTCACTTATTTTGTCAGTATAACAATGAATTAATATGTGCAATATACAAACATATGTTGGTGAATATTCAGTGTATGTTTATATTTCATCGCTATGGAGAGCTTTACTTTGTTGAGAGATATGTTCGTTGCAATCATAGCATATGCGTCGTAAACACTTTTACTTGTTTCTCATCGTCATCAGCCTTGTCAATCATAACGTCAAATTATTATTTTTGTTTTATTACTTTCCTGTGGAATTTTAAAATATAAGCCATGTTTCCTTATATTCTCATTGCTTATATATTCTTAGAGCGACGGCCATTTTTGCTACCATTTTCCACACCCTCAAGTGCAGCCGCTCTTGATCTAAATGTTGTTTTTTTTTGTTCAGATTGGAGACGCATTTTTCATTTTGGATATTAGTTAAAAATCTATGAAGGCAAAACTGTGCATAATGGATCGATGCGGAGACTGAACTGTGCTCTGGAGAATTTCAATGTGGATTACTGTCGTAATCCGGAGTGAAAATTACCAACACCATATGCACCTCCACGATAACCTACTAACGCTATGGCGCTTTGCAGGATAAATAACAATGTCAGAGAAAATCAGTTAAGTGCAACAGGATATACTGTTATTGTATTTTACTAACCTCTATACGTTAGAGTTAACATGAAGCTGTTTGATAAAATATTAATGTCATATACTTTGGCTTTGTTATATGCACGGTTACTAAGTGAACTATTGACATTCCGGATCTCGTGCAATTCTGTGATAACTAATCTACTACAGCAAATTTGAGGCCAAAGTTTTATTTGTATTTTATTGCAAATTTTAATTAAATAACAGCTTAAATTATTATCACACATAGATAGGTATATTATCATTTGATAAATGATGTAAGTGTATATATCATTTGATAAAAGATGTTAGTGTAATTTATATATATATATATATATATATATGTTGAGGATAATATATCTTTAATGACTTTATCTGGGTATAAAGTTACGAAATGAAACGTTAAAATGCATCTATAAAAATTATTAAAGATAAGATAAAACGGAACAGTAAGTCAAAATCAGATTTCTTTGCCTGTATCATTCTTTATAGTTTATCCAGCTCAAATATTACGGTAGTTTAATAATGTTCTTTCCAAGATAAGGAAATTTATCAAAATCGGTTCATTTGATAATAAAATATTGGTTTGCATAATCTTTTCTATGATGCTATTGACCAGTGTTTAACAATATATTCCATTTCGTCTTCCTACATACATAGTCTAATGATTTGTGTAACATTAAACAACCGCAGTCAGCAGTGTGACCAGGCGCTGATAGTGGCCCAATTTTCATAGTCCCTTATTATTTGAATTTCATAGCTGGTCAAATCCGTTTCACAATTCAGCATTTTACAGGTAATGCACATTATTCTTACAGGTAATGCACATTATTCTTTTTACATTTTTATTTTACAGGTAATAGACATCATTCCTCAGAAACGAAACAAGTAGTACTACTCAAGAAAGGGAAAGGCGGTACAGGTAATTTGCCAATGAGTTACTTATTGGAAATTAAATTAGGAAACCATTATAAACAGCTATTAAGAATTAAAATTAAAAGCATTTCTGGGGCGTAATGGAACTTTAAAGGTTTTGTTTTAGTAAGGAAATATCGTCGAATTGCATAGCGAATATAACAAACTGTTTTTGAAAAAAAAATCACAAAAGTATTCTAAAGTGACTACAATCAATCTGTAAATAATAGAATATAATATATGTTAGATGAACGCTTATGCCGTACGTACGTTACAAAGCTGACCAAGTGATCAAACACGACAAGAAAGTATTGCTATTTTCATAGTTTAGCGAGATTTTACTATCCCATAGATGTAACATCACATGGTTCCAATGCTGAAAGGTCATAGGTTATATTTTTAAAACGCTATAACGCTATGACAGACTTATGTTATAAACATAAAGTTGTTTAGTTAAAAAAAATCTCTGTCATCAATTTTTGTTAATAGTGTGACGAACGTTTTGAAACGAAATCTATTCAAGCTAGAGCAAGAAACTCAAACTTATTTCAATAGATTTAAAATGAGTAGAAATGTTGCAAAAAGGGTAAATTAATTTTAAGAGAATTTTAATTATTTTAAGAGATCTATTGTCATTGCGTCATCGGAATGATACAAAAAAAGAGTTGTTCACTTACTTATGATATATTCACTCCGATAATCATCTACTGCTTTCATTTACATATAAATGATAATGATAAAAATATTTACTAACTTTCGATTTTTGAAAAATACGTTATCTTTATTTGTTCAAACTTTTAACCGTCAAAGTGTCGTAGTGTCGTACTGTCATGTGATACGCAGTAACAAATGAAACTTATATAAGATAATATGAGGTAATTTTGTATTCTGCATTCTATGAGATGAACACACATATGTCAAATCTATATTGGGCGAGACGCCAGTCAATTCTGGCAGGATTTGCAGATGTGTACGTGCAGGAAAGAAACAGTATTGTCCGATATAGGTTTGACAGATGTTTACTCCTCCAATATATTTTAGTATTGTACTCAACATATATTATAACCCTATGATATAGATATTTTGAACTCGAGGCTATATGGGGTACGATATGCAATTGATATTTTGGAAAAGAGGGTAAATTGATAAAGATGTATCCGATATCAATTTCCATAAGAACAGCATGTGGTTCCAACGCTGAAAGTTCATTGGTTAAATTGTTAAGTGTAAAATGAAATTTCTTTTTATTGAAATAAAAAAGCTTGTACATAATTATCTTCTTTGGGTCGTATGTATGTATTTAAAAGTGTTTTTAAGTGTAATTGTTCAGGCACTTTTACACTTGGAAAAACAATACTTTGGGAAACCTATTACAAAACTGTGGCCTCATCGTTTTTGAGTTTGGAAGGATACTACTTAATACAATCAAATGTCCTATTGTGATTGTATGGTATGTGAAGATGTCAACCATTACAGAATTGTTGGTTACACAGCCAGTAATGGCTTTGTTACTTCTTTTGTTCCGATGGAGGGTAACCTCAAGTTGCAACAAATGATATTATACTATGGTCTGTCCCATCAAATTTGAACATTCCATTTTTTCTTTAATATAATAGTAAAATCATTTAAATTAATGTCATGTTAACCCTGGCGTCAATATCTCTAGGCATGTTTTTCTTTTTTTTATAAAGTGTGTAATATGGTCAAAATGTTAAAATTATATTTTTTCCCGTTGACTTACTTTGTAAACTAACGTGACGTCCATATAGAATGACATAATGTGAAGTTGTTTATAAAAGATTTAATTAAAATCTATTTCAAACGATGGTAAACGTGTACATGTACTTGCTTAAGGCAATTAATGTTATAAAATATGCTATGTTTACAGTAAAAATGCAATGCTAAAGCAATCCTCTATATAGATATATTTTATATATTTTATTGCCTTACTATTTACTTCTTGTATTTATTATGTTCTATATTGGTATATAGATATATACGAACGATGATTTTAACAGGCATATTATAAACAAATAGTAAATAGTAAGGCTTATTGGTTATAAGTTATTACTGAACCTCGCAAAGTTACAAACCGATTTCGTTTTATACTTATATAGTTGAATCGAATCAGATTAAACATAGACAGCTATTGAATAAACTTCTTTTAAGTAAAAATGAAGTAAACATTGTTTATGTGTTACATGTTTAATTTCTATCCTATAGTTTTTGTATTACTGATTTCAAATTGTTATGTTAAACCATTTTCAGAAAATTCTTATCTTGAACGTTTACCCGTTATCTCATTATGTCAACTTAACGGGAAATATAGTTTTCAAAAAGTGTTAGGTTATCTAATTTGTGAACCCAAATATTGAGGTATCTCTTTTTGATTTAAGATGTAAGATAACAGTGGTTGTAATTTATTTCCACATACAAGCCATTTGTTAACCATCTTTACAATCTTATCCATCACTTTCCTTATGATAGGTCTAAAAGAATGTTTCTGTTCCCGCTAAATAAGTAATTAATTAAACAGTTAAAAGAAAATAAATCGTTCCATAGGTTCATTGGCCTTGGCAATATCTTTTCTCTACTGCCTGTGCAGTTGCTATTGTAAAGCACATTAAACACTTATTTCCTTACTTTTAAACCCGTTCCTACGATTAAAAGCAGATTTAATGGGTGTTTATTTACCACATTACATTGTTGTAATAAAAGTGGAAACATTCAAGAAAAGTTATTGTACAAATAGTCTTTATATTTATGAAGGAGATCATTTTACATTCAAATAGAATAAAATTGTTCACCTTTAAGACTAAAATCACGTTCTCTCAAACAACAATAACATGGCGTCATAATGAAAATGATGACAATAAAGTTGATGATAACGCTAATCATGATAGCGAGTAGAAAATGATGACAACAATGATGATGAAAACGTAAATAATTATAGCGAGATGAAAATGATGACAACAATGATGATGATAATGTTAATAATTATAGCGAGATGATAATTACAACAATGATGATGAAAACGTTAATAATTATAGCGAGATGAAAATGATGACAACAATGATGATGATAATGTTAATAATTATAGCGAGATGATAATTACAACAATGATGATGAAAACGTTAATAATAATAGCGAGATGAAAATGATGACAACAATGATGATGATAATGTTAATAATTATAGCGAGATGATAATTACAACAATGATGATGAAAACGTTAATAATTATAGCGAGATGAAAATGATGACAACATTGATAATTATAACGTTGATAATGATAGCGAGATGATAATAACAACAATGATGATGATAACGTTAATAATGATAGCGAGATGAAAATGGAAATGATGATGACAAGGTTGTTGATAACGTTAATAATGATAGCGAGATGATAATAATAACAATGATGATGATAACGTTAATAATGATAGCGAGATGATAATAACAACAATGATGATGATAACGTTAATAATGATAGCGAGATGATAATTACAACAATGATGATGAAACCGTTAACAATGATAGCGAGATGATAATGGAAATGATGATGACAACAATAATTGGGAATGGAAGCTTTTGTGTCGGCAGAATATCACCTTAATGTACAAATTTTATAACATGTGTGTCGCAATTCTAAAAATTAAATGCAAGAGTAAATATTCCCGGTAAGTCCGCCTGCTTAGCTATCGGATTTGTAACTCAGTGAATGATGGCCCGATCCTTAGGCGATGCAAACTTTCTGCAACAAAATTGATCCTGGACATTTTGATACATTACCGTCTCTTCACGAAAATGTTTAACCGAAGTGTATCTTCAGGATTAAACAATAATGATTTAATTCATAATTCAATGAATTGAATTTATATTAACATAACAAGTTCCATTGTCTAATCTGGAGATAAAAACTGTAGAGGAAATGAGATATTTTCACTTACCGATAAGTCGACTCCGTCAGATCACCTTGATCATCAAATAAACGTTATTTTGTTTTGGCTTGATAATGTAAGAAATATATGCCACTGCATTTTTTTTTATTCCAAGTGGCGATAACAATTATTTGCCGTATTTATCTGATTACCGCACAACATGCTGTTAGCATGTCGTACAAACCAATAAACTAATTTATTATATGAAATGAGCCGCGCAATGACAAAACCAATGTAATGGTTTGGCGACCAGCATGGACCAAGACCAGTCTGTTCATCCGCGCAGTCTGATCAGGATCCATGATGTCCGCTTTCAGTTTATCTACTTGTTAAAGGGGTTTGTAAGCGAACAGCATGGATTCTGATTGACTGCGCGGATGCGCATGCTGGTCTTGATCCATGCTTGTCGCAAACGTACTGTATTGGTTTTGTCATGAAGCGGCTCCGATTTTGTTTTACAGCGATTAAATAATTGAAAGGACTTTTTTTATGTATTTCTTATTATCCATATAATACATACATACAACATACATTTTATCTTCAACATGAAGTTCCAAATTCCCATTTTTTATTAGATATTGACCCGCCGAAAGAAATTGAAATAACCGAGCCAGACAGGTAATATACACATTAAGTTTCCCCTTTGGGTACCCCAAGTTAGAAACAACATGCGCTGTGACGATGCTCGTACAGTTCGATGTTGTGACATGTAAATGCCGATATACAAGCACTTTTAACTGTCAAATGAAAATTGTACCAAAATAGTGTAATGAAAAATACTCTCATCAGTATTTTAAACAAAAGTTTCAATCAGTTTTTCGGCTTTTCTTCGTTTTTGACACTAGGCAGTAACATAGCCGTAAAACACTTTCATACAATGTTTATTACAAAAATTTTACTGATATATTACATTGCTAACAAATATAATGTTATATTTATTCATTTAGACGGTTGAAAATGTTATTTAATAGCTCTTATTTTAAATATGTCTATTTCATCGCCTGTAAAATGTGTTTTTGGCTTTTCCATGTTTTTGACGTTAGACCGTTACGTAGCCGAAGAACACTTTCATACTGTTTTTATAAAAATAATATCACTGACATTTTCCATTTATTACAAAAAATGTAATAGTTATTCATTTAAAAGGTTGAACAAATATTTAGTAGCGGCTCTTGTTTTAACTACGACTATTTTATCGCCCGTAAAAATGTGTTTTTCGGCTTTTCCATGTTTTTGACGCTAGTCTGTTAAAATCAACATAGCCTTGATGACAAAAATGGATTATATTATCAAGCAATGTATACTTCAGTGCTTTCAGTGCTTTGATTTATCTAGTTTTAATTATACTTAGACGTGATTTAAAAATAAATCTTACTGTTTTATATTACATATCTTGAAATCATATTATCATAACAATATATAGACATCTTGAAGATATCAAATCATTAGTTTATTTCCAGATATCTAAGCAAATAGAGGCCATGGGTGTCAAAAGCAAGGTTGTTGGCCGGTGACAGATGATGGAGGGTTACCTCAAGTTACAGCAAACGATATTTTACTAGTATATAAATGTGCCTGTTGTCTATCAAACCATTACAAATTTCACATCAATGATTTATATGTTTGTGCCGGTTGCCTACAAGCCAAGTTGCAGAATGCGAAGTTGTTTATAAAAGATTTTATTAAAATCTATTTCAAACGATGGTAAACGTGTACATGTACTTGCTTAAGGCAATTAATGTTATAAAAGATGCTATGTTTACAGTAAAAATGCAATGCTAAAGCAATTCTCTATATAGATATATTTTATATATTTTATTGCCTTACTATTTACTTCTTGTTTTTAATATGTTCTATTGGTATATAGATATATACGAACGATGATTTTAACCGGTATAATTATTATAAACAAAGAGTACATAGTAAGGCTAAAAGAACAGACTATGTTTGGTTTTAAGTTATAACTGAACCTCACAAAGTCACAATTTCGTTTTATACTTATATAGTTGAATCGAATCATATTAAACATAGGCAGATATTGAAAACAACTTCTTTAAAGTAAACATTGTTTACGTGTTACATGTTTAGTTTCTATCCTATAGTTTTTTGTATTATTGATTACAAAATGTTAAAATAAACCTTTTTCGGAAAATTCTTACCTTGAACGTTTACCGGTTATCTTAGTTTGTCAAGTGTACGGGAAATATAGTTTTCAAAAAGTGTTAGGTTATCGAATTTGTGAACCTAGCTAAATATTGATATATTTTTTTATATAAGATGTAACATAACAGTGGTTGTAATTTATTTCCGCATACAAGCCAATTGTTATCCATTTATCATTCAACTTTACAATCTTATCCATCACGTTCTTTATGATATGTCTAACAGAAATTTTCCCGCTAAATAAGCAAATAACCAAACAGTTAAAAGAAAATAATTTTTTTCATAGGTTTATTGGCCTTGACAATATTTTTTTCTCTAGTTCCTGTGCTGTTGCTATTGTAAAGCACATTAAACACTAATTTTCTTACTTTTAAACCCGTTCCTACGATTTAAAGTCGATTTCATGGGTGTATATTTACCACGTTACATTGTTGTATTAAAGTGAAAACCTTCAAGAAAAAGTTATTATACAAATAGTCTTTATATTTATGAAGGAATCATTTTACATGGTAATAGGATAAAATTGTTCACCATTTTAGACTAAAATCACGTACTCTCTAACAAAAATAACATGGCGTCATGAAAATGATGACAACAAGGTTGATGATAACGTTAATAATGATAGCGAAGTGATAATGACAACAATGATAATGATAACGTTAATAATGATAGCGAGATGATAATGGAAATGATGATGACAAGAATAATTGGGAATGGAAGTTTTTGTTGCAGCAGAATATCACCTTACTGTACAAATTATATTTCATGTGTGTTGCAATTCTAAAAATTAAATGCAAGAGTAAATATTCCCGGTCAGTCCGCCTGCTAAGCTCAATAGGGATAGGATCGGATTTGTAACTCAGTGAATGCTGGCCCGATCCTTGGGCAATGCAAAACTTTCTGCAACAAAATTGATGCTGGACATTTTGATACATTACCGTCTCTTCACGAAAATTTAACCGAAGTGTAAATAATGATTTAATTCACAATTCAAGGAATTGAATTTATATTCACATAACAAATTCTATTGTTTAATCTGAAATTCTAAAACATAGGGAAAATAAGATATTTTCACTTACCGGTAAGTCAACTTCGTCAGATCACCTTAATCAATAAACGTAGTTTGTTTTGGCTTGATAATGCTGGAAATTAAGTGACATTAGATAACGGGACAAGCAACTCGCGCTTTCTTATCAGTGCCTATGTTGGTGTCCAATTGGAATCGATCGATCGATAAGCGCCGTGTTTAAACGCCGTAATCACGGTACATGCCGGATTTATCGGATATATTCCGTGCATAAATTTTCCGGTGATTTCGGGAGGTGGGCATTGAAATAATAGGCCATCTTTTTTTTAAAAAAAAAAGGTTATTGGGTAAATTTACCGTTTTTTTAAATACTTTTTTATTTGATAAATTTTGAAAATATGAATAAATATTAAACAAATACAGAAAAGTATTGGCATTTAAAAGTTTTCTCACATTTAATTATGATAGAAAATTTACGTCTTGTAATTAAAATACGTTCAGAAATAACTAAATCATTTAATTTCAATTACATTGTGTTTTTTTCTGACTTTAATTACAATATATATGGTTTATATTAATTATATGATATAATTATGTCAAATTTGTCAATAAACACCAAATTATTTTGTATTGGGAAGACTTATTATTTATGTAATTAAAGTGTACAGCTGCTATAAACATGTTATAATTTCTGGTTTAATGAAATATCTGACCTTTGTTTTATTAATGTTTGTTTGTATAATGGCCTTAGAAAACCTTTTCATGTTTAACATATTTTTCACATATATTTGTTATTATGTTCTTATTAAGCTTTCATCTTCATTTTGAATAGGTTGTTACTACACACAACAATGCTCTTTTAAAAGATGCTGTTGAATGACAGATTTAATTATAAATAATAACTCAAACTAGAACTCCGCGAGTCGGATGTGTCGCCTTGTGAACAATATAGTTTAAGAGAAATGGCAAAGACAAAAATCAACAAAGGGCAATATCTCAAAAAATAAGACATACAGGTCAGCAGTTTATGTGCACTGCACTTCTTATCAATAAAATTTATCATCCTATTAAGTTTCAAGTCTAAAGCTTTTATAATTTATGAGAAATGGCCTGGACAAAAAAAAATATGAAAAATAACAAAGGGCAATAACTCAAAAAATAAGAAATACAGATCAGCAGTTTCTGTGCACTGCACTTCTCATCAATAAGATCTATCATCCTATTAAGTTTCAAGTCTAAAGCTGTTATAATTTATGAGAAATGGCCTGGACAAAAATAAAGTATGAAAATTAACAAAGGGCAATAACTCAAAAAATAAGAAGTACAGAGTACCGGTTCTTGTGCACTGCACTTCAGGTCATTATGAGAAGCATGCATACCAAGTTTGAAGTCAATCCGATTTATAATGACTGACTTATGCTCCGGACAAGCTGTAGGGGACGCCGACAACGACGACGACACCGACAACGACGCCGACGACGACAACGACGCCGCCGACAAAAGTAACCCCTATATGTCGCCTTTTTCAAGGCGACACAAAAAGATATCATTTAAGATGCAATGTTCATATATGAAATGAATACAAATATTCATATTTGCAAAGGCCACTGTGGTGTAGTGGTAAGCATACTGGTCATCAACCTACATACCGATGGTTAGAGTTAGAATATAACCCATTTGTCATGTGACATTTCTGTATGTATGAACATCAGACCAGCGGACAATATCTGTGATTTTTATACTGAACCAGTGACTCATTAAAATTATTTTACTTTTTCATTACAGAGCTAGGCAGCATGAAGGACTATATCTAGTTGAGAAAAATAAAAAAACCACCCCATCAAAATATTACACATTACAAAAGATTTTTTTAAATATTTATTTCATCTAATGAATATTAGCTGTACAAATGTAAACATAATTGGAATACAAAATATTTCACAAATAGATGTTGCATACCAACTTTTCA